CATGGCGACTACGGTCCGTCTGCTACCCATGAGGAAAAAAAAAGTTCAGAACAATAGCGCACACCAGAAAAGACGCCGTGCGGTAGACGAGGAAGGGAAGAAATGAAAGGCAGGGAGGTCAACCAGACGCACGTCCGGTTTGCTACCCTGCACTGGGGGAAGGGGATTAAAGGAGAAGAGAGAGAGAAGTGAAGGGCAAGCCCTGTCGCTTTAGCAGTACCCTGGCAACAAATATGTTACAAAGAGACGCTATGCACGTTTTTAACTGCGGGAAGCAGCTTTCCCGCTGAAGTCAAGCCGTCCAAGCACAGCAACCGAACCTGGTGCCTCTTTCAAGGTCACTGCTGGAAGCGGTAGGGCATTATTAGGACGAAGCAACTGCCTCTCTCGATAGACAGGGCCCTGAGAGAGAGCATTCCCAGTTGCAGCACTAGACAAGCTGACGTTTGGCGCAATAGTGATTGAACGAACGAACGAATGAATGGCAGTAATAGATGAGCGGCACCGGAGGCATTAGGAGCTTCGGCAACAGTACAGCACAGAAAAAAAGTTTTAGTGGATGACGGATATCATCATCCCCATCATGACGCGTGGCGAAAAAGAAATATATTAGTAGCCAGAGGAAAAATGGTCAACTGTAATAAATGATGTAACAACTGTCTATAAACAAATATGATACGTGAATACCAGCCCTCTATTTACATTTCAAAGGATATGTCATAAAAGACCTTCGCCATCATGATCTTCGAAGTGACAGTACACTTCACACCCAGATTCTCTCCCTCACTCTTACACTTTCGCTTTTTTATCATTACCATTATCATTCGATGCGTCGGCGAAATAACTAATAAAAACAGTGACCCAAGTATTCATTTTTCCCGAGAACTGTCTCTGATTGGAATGCTCTGCCCCATGATTCCCCTATGCTCGACACGCCGAGATGAAACTATTCCCTTTTCTTGTCGTTTAAGTCTGCTTCTTTGCCTGTATTTGTCCCTTGTTTTTCACGAATTTTTAATGTACATGAATTTTGTTCTGCAGTGAATGTATACTGCAGCGGAAGTGTATCTATGTAGAAGAATTTTGAACTGTATTGCCCTCTCCTGCATGGACCATACTTGGTCCGCAGTATGTGATAAATAAATAAATAAAAATAAATAAATAGAAGCCCTGCTCTGAGGCTGGAATGGGCTGGTACGGTTGAGAGAGAGAAGGAACAGCCGCTAGCCTGGCCGTAGCGCCTAGGGAACAGATACACTCCGCGCCACAACTGCAACAGAACGACGGCTGCAAGCAGCGACGAGGGAAATGGCGTGAAAAAGGGCCGCTCGCAGCTTTGCGCGCGCACTATGAATGAGGAGACGAACTTGACCTTGAAAAAAAAAAAAATGTCGGTGGCGGAGGGGGGCGCGCGCGCGCGCCCGAGAAAAGAAAAAAAAAAAAGATCGCAGAAATAAAGAGCTCTCGACCCATTTGGCGATGCTCCTGAATAGATCCACGGCCGCGTGGTAGCGCTGCGATCGACGGACATCGAGGAAACTTACGGATAAAAAAAAAAATCGATCGCCCAAATAACAGCAGCATCGGCGGTATCTTCGTGAGGGAAAAAAAAGCCACGTTACAGCTACACTCTCTCTATAACGCATACGCCGCTGCTCGCTCCATCCGTCCATTTGGGAACGACTGTATGTGTGTGTTCTCGGGAATGGGGGAGAAAGAAATGAAAAAGAAAGCTCTCGCTGCTGTCACTACGGTCGGCGCGCTAACGTTTGTTCGTCAGGTGCGCCCAGAGCGCAGGAAACGTGAGATGAGAAAAAAAAGAGAATAAATGCGGTAGACGCAAAATACCTTCGACGTGGCAGCAACAAGCGGGAGGCGAACGCTACGCTGCTGCCGCTGCAGCGAGGGAGTGGCCCGATTTGAAAAACCTTCGCGATCTGAGGAAGCACGATGGAAACGCGCGAAAACAATGCGTGATGTGGAACCACGCTAACAAAAAGAAAAACTGAAATAAGGCAGGTGATTTCGCTTTTTTTTTTTTTCCAAAAAGAAGCCAAGCGTGCATCGCGCGAGGCCCTGGCAGGTGCTGCTAACGAGATTACATGCGATCGCGGGAAAGTGAAAAAGGCTGAACCAACCCCCGAGAACGCGAGCAAGCTGGTCAAATAGAGAATGCCCGCAAGTGGCTTGCCTTTTTTTTTTTTTTTTCAAGGACACCTCGCGAAAGGAAGCAAGCACTTTCCGCGCACAGGGCAATCGAAAAAGCGCGAACAAACAAAGGAAAACTGTTGCATAATGTTATTTTTTTTGTTTGTTTGACATTCGCGGCGCGGGTGATTCATTCGAAGCGAGCGCTCGATGGCGAAAAGCGCGCTTACGTGGACACAGCCGCCTCTGCTACTCTTCACAACTGCACCTGACGATAAAAACCATTCCCCTCCATGGCGCTAGCCTACGCGAAGCTCGCGAGCGGAATAATCTTTACTCGAGATAACAGCCGTCGAGCGGAGCAGGCCGGCTTTATCGGCGCGGCCGAAGTGTAGGGATATAAACACACGTATGATATCAAACGTGGTTCGCACGATATTTTTGCACGCGCGCGCGAATGTAGCGGCAATTTCCTTTCCTCTGCAACTGCCAGGCGTCGAAAGACGTACATTGCAACCGAAATTTTGAGACTGCGCCGTTTTCTGTTTCTTCTTTGATCCACTACCACGTGTCCTTTGAAGCCCTCAATATAAATGAAAACGCGATTTTTTTTCCGCATTTTATGAATTTGCATTCGTTTTTCCTGCTCGCTTATTTTTTTCGTTATCGCGTCTCGCTCGTTAATCAAAAACTACGAAACTCACCAAGGTCGCAGTCGATCGGCCATGTCTGTCACACGGTGAACCAGGAGCGCAGTCGACGGACCGCCCTTCGCGCCGAGGACTCGGGCCCAAACTAACTGCGTCATTCCTTGAAGACTCGCGCGCCGAGCCGGGGAGTTTTCCGACGGAGCTTGGCGCGACTGAGAATGCGCCGTATCATTGGAGCGCCTTCCCCTCCTCCTCCGCACCATTGCGCGCGTACCCTCTCTTGCGCCACAGCCCCTCTCTCTCGCCTCGCCACACCGTGTCGTCACCGGGAAAACACTTTCGCGCACCGCCCTCGCCCTCCTTTTTCTTCCCCCTCCCCGGGACTTGCAACGCTTACGTAACCATTCGTCCTTTCCCGGCGCGCATACACACACGCGCGCGCGCACCGCGAGGAAAAGAAATATCACCCACACTTTCGCCCTTCCGTTTCCCCACCCTTTCGCAGCTACCAACACCCATACGAGGTTTATTTGCGTACTCTTCAAGCATTTTCTTTTCCTTTTTGCGTGTGAAATCGTAAGAAACAAACCAAGCGTCAAATAAAACGACGAAGATATCGGGGATGGCCAGTTTGTATTAGTCATTATGATTATGGAAAGGCGGCTCGCTGAGAAGACATTTCCCTTCGCTCCAAGCGCCATCTTCTTCTTCCTTGTTACCCCTCATATTTCGCGAGTAATTAACACTGAAAGACATTGGTGGGCCCAGCAGCCGGTACGTTGTTGCGTTATAAAAATTATTATAGTAAAATAGAAGGTATGCGCGAATGTTTTAATGCAAACACCTCATACTACGAATTTATCGGGTTTTACGTGCCAAAATACCAATATGATTATGAGGCTCGCTGTGAGGGGTACTCCGAATTATTTTATTGAAAGGTGCGCGAATTGCGTCAGGGAAAACGAAAAACAGGGGGGGGGGGGGAGTGTCTTTTGAAAAGAATGGTTGAAGTATGGTGGCCAGCTTAGTTGAAGTGCCGCAGCGTGCCAACAGCATCAGCTGATACAGGCCCACAATAAACAAGTAAGTGGCCGACAGCGGGCCAAGCTCGCGGCTGGCGCTCCCGCGCATGCCCCCCCCCCCCCCCTTCCTCCATGTTTGCGCGACTGCCAAGGAAGCGCCGTCAGCGAATAACATAAGCCCGCACGAGACGAGTTGTTCACAAAGAGCAAGGAATGCATGACGACGTATATCTGAATGCAGATGAAACTAAAACAACAAACGGGAGAAAAAATTAGCCATCTCAAAAGAAAGAAAGCGCTGCAGGCTGATCGATGTTCCGGGCCCATATCGACGCAGTCGAAGCACAAAATGCTCTTTGCTTCGTGTAGGCCGTGTCACGAAATGGAAACCTGCCAAAGTGGGAGAGACGGATGCTTCCAAGAATCTAGAAAGCCATATGCTGCGCTATATTCATGACACCATCATCATCAGCCTGACTACGCGCACTGCAGGACAAAGGCCTCCCTCATGATGTGCCAATCAATCCGGTCTTGTACTTTCTGCTGTGACGTTATACCTGCGAGCATTTTAGCCTCATCAGCCCACAGAACTTTCTGTCTCCCTTTCGTGCGTTCATCCAACCTCGTAGGCTTAACTATACTTAACGTATGCATGCATACGTTTAGTGCTTTTTAGAACGAAGTACTACAAATGATCTTACTAAGCATATGATTTCCCGTTTGAAAATATTCGATAGGCTTACCATTTACATGGGTTGAGGCATAGTTGCGGGGACCTTGCCATAGAATCAGTTTCGGTTCGCGCACACAATCGACGTTGACACTACGGCCATCGTTATTTTACCGGCCTGTAGCAAAACGTAGTGGATATAGAACAGCGTGACTGCGTGTAGCACAACACACACGTCGCTTTATCGAGCTGCGTGCATTCAAACAAATGCAGCACGGGGCTGCCTGATTAATCGTTTCAGCAACTACATGGTTGGGCGAGTTGCAGAGCGAAGAAAAAAGCTAGAATAGTGAATCGCGCAGCTGGAAAGGCAGCACGAGAGCCATTCATTTGCCGGCGTGCGCTTCACGTGGTTCTGCGTAATGAAGTACCCTCTGACACTCAAATCAAAAGTGTTGTACGTGAACGAGAAATTGTTCATTCGCACTGCCGCAGAAGCTTTGTTCTTACCTCTGTCGAACTTTTTTCCTTCGGGATCGATGTCTTTTACGTCGAAAATGTCCTCGAATAAAACACCCGCCATTTTGAATACACTGGCGCCCCGCGTGGAAGAAGACTCAAAACGTCGCAGAACTATTTCAACAAAAACAAATGAAACGCTCATTTGTACAAGGTTTTAGTATATTACATTTTTAAATTTACAGTTTGCGTGCGATAGAGTTTTCACGAATGTTGGAGATATATTTAATAACAGGAAACGGAAGTGGGCTCGAGTACACTCGATCCAAAAAAGCAAAGTGGGCTCGAGCTTTTTCGTTTATTGCGGCAGGGCGTTATCGCCTGTGTTTCTAATTAAGTTTTTTTTTTTTTCTTTTGCAGCCGCTATGAGCCCGCGTATCGGCACTTAAGCGGATCGCGAAGTGACTCGTGCGCTCTCGAATTGTGATCGTTTTGAACAGCGCGAGACGATGTGACAAGCGTCGAATGGCTTCGCCTCCTCCACGCCGAAATGTCAGCAGTAGGCCGCACAAGCAACACCTGTCCCCACTTCAGGTTCTGCTGCAAATGGGATTTCCGAAGCACAGAGCGTGAGTGTCGATCCGTCACGTAGCGTGCTCTAACCGGGGCCTCAGTCGCTGGCGCCATGAAAGCATTTGAATTGGCTGCGGTGAAGTCATCGAGGCGCGTCTCACGAGTCAAGGACCTGTGAACGTGCGCCTGTGTGACTAACTGGAGCGCTCCCGTTTGCCCCTCGTCTCGTAGGCGGCTTTTTTGCAGAGGAAGCTCGTCGGCGTATAACGCTTCCTAAGTCCTTGAACTCTGGTTTTCACCTAGCGTGTATTGCTGTCGCTTCCTGTGCGTGTGCTTGTCTTATTTCACGGGAGCTGATTCGTCATCGTGTCAAATCATTTTTTTCTCGTTTCAGCGAGAAGGCTCTTGCGGCGACTGGAGACAGGGGAGTGCAGTTAGCGGCCGATTGGTAATGGCAACATTTTTTTTTATTTGGGTGTTTCTGGTATCATACATCGTCAGGTGCTCACGCTAGATTACTCGTTTTTGATGTCCTGAACACCCTGTCACGGGAATGAAGCCACTAGCACCATAGGACCCGACCTACGCCCTAAATATATTCTCAGGCGTTCGTCCCAACGTTCGTTCGTGTGTCGCTAACATACAAAACACTATTGTGCGGCACGATCAGAATTTTAAAGGTTGTTTTTGCACGCTCGACACATGAGAGATCTTTCATACAACGAAAATCCGTGATGCTCACGTTCTCTACACTTGACAACAGCGTAAAATACTGTTTCATGTGAGTGCAAAGACACCTTCAGGGACTGACAGAATGGCCTTTTATTTCCAACATTATTGTTAGCTTTGATAGGCACCACATACATGGACTGTCATGGGCTATTATTATAACAGCCATAGCACGCACTTCAGTCAAGTATCGAAATGAACTTCTGCACATAGCCAAGCCATTTTGCAGAGTAGAGCTGATGCATCATTCTCGTTCTCTGTGGATGTGATGAATGAATGCTGGCCGAAGTTTGGCGTTCCTGACCTGCTTTCTCTGGCTATGGTTTCGTGCTGAGAAGCACACAAGTGGGCTTTTTAATTCGCAGCCACCACGTCCACATTTTATTGGGCATGCAGAGATGCGTTTCACTATGGTTTAGGTTCACAGCAAGGAGTTTTTGCCCTTAGAACTCCAGAATTTATATGGTTGGTTTGGCCTTTCTCTTAATTTAAGCATTATTGATATCTTGCACTATTGTTGCATGGAAAATGGAATTAAATTCCTTAAGTCTTATGTTTTAATGGCATTCGTCCTAATGTCATTTGCTATTTAATGCGTTCGCCAGAAAACTCTCGAAGCCGTAGCATGCGTGGGGCAGCATAGACGAAGCACTTGCAATATTCTCTTCTATCGTGTGGAAAATATTTTATCGCGGTTTTTAACAGTGCTCATGTCAAGAGTTGCACTTTCCAAACTTTTTCGGGTCCACTTTGGAGTGGCTTCGACACATAGAGGGGCCATGTAACTTCAGAATTGCGTATTTTACAAGCAATGTTCAAACTTCCTAGATCAGTAGCAGGGATGTAAGAGGAAGCTATAAACTCTTGTTAATGGAACTTCAGTGTCCTTACTTCTACCTTTCACTTGTATCAAAGGCAAAATGTACTTGTAACTATGTGTTTACTTCTTTATTATTACTGAAAAGTTGCTAACTTCAGAAGATCTTATCGTCAACAGTCGTCAGGTCAGTCAATGCAATTTGTACATGTAGTAGCCCTGGTAAAGAAAAAAAAATTATCAGCAATAGAAGGCATTAGCAACTGAACATCATTCGATTGTGTGCCTCTGGCAGGGGTATTTATCAGTTGCCGTATGTGTTATACTCATGTGCTTTCTGTCCATTTTTCAACACTCACGTGGACTTCCTTGCGTTATTTTTATCTCTCGCTAGGCTTTTAGCTCACGTCAACGACCCCACCTTGGACGACAGCACTCCTAGAGAATATATTCTTTATCTCTGCCCGGTGGGACCCCTTCTGGAGCAGCTGCAGAAGTTCTCTCTCCAGTCTATGCTGCAGTGTGGACGCAATGGTGCACACAACTACCTGCCACATATCACGCTGTGCTCTTTTTTTCAGGTGAAAACTATTTAGCATTACTTAAATATGTGTGAGGAAAATCATGATAGACTGTACAAAAGCATATGCAGATGCCTAGCGCTAACCATGAGTGCTGGAAGATACAGCGAGGTTGGGGAGAGTGTGCTTGCCTCTAGGCTGGTGGTCGTAGTAGTTTAAGCAGTTAACGGAGTGGACAGTGCGTAGGTAAAAATGTGAGGATAGCCTGGAGCTATGCAGGCACACTGAGCTAACATGACTCGATAAGTCATTGACATGCAAGACACCAATACGAGCATTCGGGTGACTAGTCTGCAGAATTGTGTCTCATTGAATTCTAACGACAGCGAGTCACTGTTCTGTTCCGTGCTCTCGTGCCGAAAAGACAGGGACTGCAAATTGTGCACTTGGCTGCTGCTCTGATAACATTGCACTTACAATGCGATTGCTATGCATTACAATGCGATTGCTATGCTACAATGCGAACAGCGTTAACCCTTTGCAGCCGTGTTGCGTTATCAAAAGGGGCCCGACAACAGAACACAAAGGGTTAATGCATTTCGTTGTGTGTTGAGTTGTCCTGTTGAGCTCAGGTAAAACACGATGCAGTGTGAGAAAAAACATTCTTGTGTAATAAGATTGAGATACGTTGAAGGCATTGATATCGAAAGTTTTTTTTTTTTTTTAATGTTAACATTGGTTAAACGAAGTTGTCATACGCTGTTTCTTTTCAGGCCCCGGATGATGCTATCGGGCATCTCAGTCGAGCACTGCAGCATGTCGTGGAAAAGCTGAAACCAGAACTTCCGGAGTCTATTAAGCTCGAACATTACACCTCACAAACGTTTCTCGGGCTTTTTGTGGCCGAAGAACACAACGATGCATTAAAAAAGCTTGCCATTTATTTTATGAGAGAGGTTTCCGAATTTAGTGAGTATTGCATTTTTTGTTTCTTCAGTTTATGGCTTTTTTGTTGGATGCATCATTAATTTGGCGTACCTTTGAGCTCTTTTTCATTGTCATCTAACCCTCAATCAAATATTCTTATGTTCCTAATTAGAGAAAATGCTTCAATAACTAGGTCTTTGTGGCATAAGTCAGCCCAGTTCATTTCTACACTAATTTATATTTAGCAGGGAGGAAAGTTGGGACATTTACATATTCTTACTGGATACGTCAATATAGGCTAGATGGTAATTTTTCTTTTTCTAACAACTTGTGACCTTAAGACAGCCATCAGTTTAGATTCTTTAATGCTTCTTTTAACTTGTTCATTTTGACATTACGGTAGAAAACACCATTTTTCTAATCGCTGTACCGTAGCATCACTTTTGTGACTAGCCAATGAGGCCTTTGTTCTGAATGCCTTTTTTTTTTAATTGCATATTTTATTAGCGCAAAAAAAGTTTGGATGTGCTTCTACAGTCAGACTTTTTTTCTCCCTGATGGTTTGCACAATATTTTAAAATTATTCAAAGGGGTACTGACAAAACTTCATGACTGAGATAGCCTGTAGGATGGATTCCTCTGAACATGCATATATCACCTGGAAAATATAAAGAGCGAATATAGGTTGAAAGGTATTTTACAGCAAGTTTTAATTCTAAAGGTATTAACACCATCGAAAGGGTCCCCACGAGGGCCCCCTTACTTCCCTCACATCACCACGCTCCAGTCGATAAAACAAGTTTTGGTGACGTCATAGCCACCATTTTTTTTTTCACCGCATGCGTTCCAGCAGGCTATTCTTCTCGGTGACCGGTTGCGAGTGCGTGGCCGTGGCGCATGCATTGAAGGTTTTATTTGACCACAGTGCAGTCGTGTTTCCTATTCGAAAGAACTTCTTGTTACGAACCATGTGGAAGTGCGTCGCAGTTCTGTGTGCTGACCTGATCGACAGCTGCACACGCTAGATGGTGATAATTTCACCATGCGACTTGTCCTTTTTGGAGCACTGTGACTGAAACTTTTTGATAATGAGCAGCCTGTAATTTTTTAAATAAATATACTTTCTCAGTGCACAGGGAACATTTCAGAAAAAAAAGCAGAGAGGACAGAGTGCACGCTTCCAACCCCTATCTGTCTTGTTTCTGAAATGTTCTCCGTGAACTAAGAAAGTATATTTTTTTCAAAAAGCGTAGTACCAACCAGCCCAAGTAGCCACTCTTTTGCAGCCTCCAATTTTCTATTGCATGCTGCAGCAAACGATGTGTCGTATCATGAACAACAGGGCCCCAACAACACATTGCAGCAAAAGAAAAAAACGCAAAGCCGAAGTTCTGTGTCAGTACCCCTTTAAAGGGCCCCTCATCACTGCAAAATTTTGGTTGTGAAGTTACAGCTCTCAAGCTATCATCTAAGATACGTATTACTAAACAGTTTTCAGATTCATTTGTTATTGACAAATTGAAACCACCCTCTTCCCATCACACCAGTAGGGAGCAGCCTTCATCGAAAAGGCACTTTTTCCCCCATTGCTTCATCTAGTGTAAACAGGCATTGCTTACTCTGCATTCATCAGTGACATTTTAATGTGTGATTCTCAACGTGGAGAAAGTAGGTGTGCAACTTCCTCGAAGTGCTTCTCCTTTAGAAGAAATTGTGTGCAGCGTTTTGTTGGAAGTCTATCATTTTCACGGCACATTGGCTGTTTCATACATCGCGCACACAGTTGCTGCTAAGTGATCTACCCGCAGTGCTTGCTTTCACCGTGCAGATCTGCTGAGGGGCCCTTTAGGCAATGTCAAATTGCAGGAAGTCAATATAAATTGTAGCGTATCTTTTCCCATTTAGTCGTAGGATACTTTATGTAGTAGGTAGCAAGATCTACTAGTCTGCTGTGCATGACAATCAAGTGTTCACGCTGCATACTTTGACATTGTGGGCTCCGTGAGCCGTAACACTACTAACCATGGGTTGTGCATCGTGTTCTGTCTTTGTAGTTGTATCCGATATCGGGGCACTGGAGGTGTTGGGCACTTGCTTCCCGTGGTGCTCGTCTTCTTATTCTTCCCTTAGCAAGACTGCTTCGCGAAACAGGCGTAAGCTCAGCCCAGACAACTCTCTGGCGATCGCTCCTTCTGCGAAGGCACCTGCTAGCTCAACTGCATGTTCCCCACTTGCACATATGCTAACTGTAGTCGTGGTGGTGATTGTGGTCGCAACAGTACAAATAGGACACACGGGGTACGATGCAGAGTTCTTTAATCATACCAGTTTTAAAACTCTGCATATGCCTCATTTATGAAAATCCGAACTCGCCATAAGTCGAAATCCTGGAGGTCTGCCGATTGGTGCATTATCTGTTGACCAAAAAACAAACTAGTAAATGCTTGTAACGATGCCAGCACAATACTGCAACAGCATGGCCTCCGAGATGGCGTGCACATGGCGTCTTTCTCTCCGGCCGTCCCAATCGCTGCGCTCCCTAGAAAAAGCAACGAGTATTGCCTCACACGCCCGGCTACCGCGAGAGAGCGCATTCACTGTGGATTCCGGCGGCAGCGGAGATCGCGACAGAAAGCAGACCGCACGATATTATAGCGTATGCATTGTTCCTTTTTTTTTACGATTAAGGATCACCGTCAGGACCTTCTGGCTGCAGTGAAAGCAAGCATTTTTTTTTTTTTTTTTTTGAGGCTACATTTATTTGGTCCATTTTACAAATTTATGAGGTGGTCATCCGAAGCACAGTGATGTCCTCATAACTGAATGCCCGGGCCATGCCACTGAAGTAAAGTGACAAGTAATTTTGCAGGAATATATATTGCAGAAGGCTTCGATTAGCTGACGTACATTTACTACCCACGTCTTTCACTGTGAGAGTGCCTGAGTACCCATAGCCTCCTTTTTCATCTGTATTTTAATTATGTTTGGGGTAGCACAATGGCAGTATCAGTATCATGTTCATTTATTGTACTCTCAACTGCATCCAAACGAAAAGGTCGTGCATGCAGCAGTACTGTGTCTTTCTGAAGAAAACTAAGTATTCGTCAAGTACACTACTAAAGAAAGAAAAAGTGCAAATTGTCACTGCTATGTAACGCACAATGTTTTGTACCAGGCACACCAAACACTCAACGTGTGATGCATTCTTCTTGAACAAGCAAAAGATTCTGATGTTCGTTCTTACATTCCCCAGCATATCCACTGAACACTGTGAAACTCACAGTGTGAATGAGCGACCATAAGTAACCAAAATGCACCTGTAACCATCCTGTGGTCGTCGCAGAACCGGCGACGTAATTTAGTCTAGATTTATGTCAAATCCCTGTCTCCTGCCTCTGTGGCATGACGGGTGGTAGTTTGAAAGGGAAAGTAGGGAAGCCTCGTGCGTGAGTGCGAGGCATTGTGCGCTATGCGAGCGCGGCTTTCGCGCAATCTGTGATTACATCAGTGCAGCTACAAGAATTCTTGAAAAGGCTTTACATCGAAAAGCAGCGCTAGTTCTGTGAAAGGAAAGAAAAAAGCATTTAATTGTGTGTAACTCGTAAATGTAGAACGCGACACTTTTCTGACTTTGCTTGCTGCTCTGGCTGTAATTTTTATTCTTCACCAGTGTCCCCCATACTACACAACCAACAAACTTCAAAGTATAGTAAGTTTCCAGCACATGCAGATCTATTGCAGAGGCATCGCAATTTTAAGTGCTCTAATATGTGCGGCGTCAATGTACAGCAAAAAAAAAAAAAACTGTTTGAAAATACATACAGCCCAGCATTGACTTTGCCTCTCGTATTCCTTGACTTGACATTTCCGGATGGGTGCGAGGTTATATAAAAGTGCAAAACCATTTTTTTTTTTCTCGCCACATGCAATTGCGCCGACAGTGCAGCAGCCTTTTCGATCCTCTGTGGGAGTGCCATGTGCCCGCTATCTCGGAGGCTATGTTTGCAGTTTAGTGTTTCGTACTACTGCTCTCGGATGGCGTACAACCTGCAGGAAAAAATCTGCTAATAGCATGGCCGGGTTGGGAACTCAGTTTGGCTACTGGTATGATTGAAGAACTATAGGTACGATGTAGGGTTATACACGAAACAGGGTGCTAAGGGTGGAACTCTTGGACGATCATTCTCTAGAGTTCTCGTGCAACTCGGCAACGGACAACTTGGAATTCACGGGTGTTTCTTGTGTGTGGCCAATTTAGAGCATGATTGGGATCATACAAGGAATGGTACCCACGGTCGCAACCATGGTTGCCAACAGGGTTCCAGGGCTGATATTTGAGAGCAGTTACTTTCACGTAGCTACTGTGCAAGCAGTGTACTGGCCATAGAGTCAATGTGTAAAGCATTGTGGGTTGTGAACTCTTAAAAAAATTATTATTTGAGAGTATCGCCCATGAATCCTGTTGAGAGACTTTGTGGTTAGCGCTTCTGACATGACTAGCTGCACCAGAAATGGTACCATGTGCTCCCTGTGCAACAGTAAAGACAGTCATGAAACGGCAGCCACGTTAAACATATTTTCAAGATATCCTTAGTGCCTAGTTATCTGGAGTAAGTTTGTTGATTTCTAGCTGTGCGATGTGTGTGTGGGCATTATTTTCAGACAATATTTTATGCATTTAACCTGGAAACCTATAGGATGGTGGAGCATCGGGTTGTTTTCACATGTGTCGGACAACACCGCACCAAAGATATTTAGCAGTGTGTTCAATGTGGCTGTCGCTTGATGCTCCTACATTAGCAGGAGGGACTTTTTGAGTGAAATTTGGGAAAGACGCTTCGCAAACACCTTGATAGCTAGCCACCCTGCTACAATGCATGAGCATGTTGTTGCCGGCCCAGCCACCCATCATTCTATTTTCGTTTGTTCCTTTTCTGTTTCCTGGTATTTTGTCTCTGTGCATGGCTTCAAAATTGCTATGATGAATGCACAGTAGCTGCTATGAATAATTAATGCAGTCAAAACCTTTATGAGTAAGAAAATGTCAGTCACTGCTACTCTGTATTGTCGAATCAATCTGCTTTCATTCTACCTGCAAACATGGTTGAAGATCGGTAACATTTCTCTAGTGGCACACCTAATGACTGGCCATCGCTGGCTAATTAATAGACAAGTTATGACAGTCATCGGTGATACTCCGAGTTGTTAGATACATGTATCAACAGCATGAAGTATATACTTCATCTAGGCCACTTATAGCGATACCGGCTTTTACAATAGATCGGTTATAGCAATAGATTGTTATGTTTTCAATGACATAATAACCCGCCCTCTACAGTGGCCCTATGCTGTATTATCGGTTACAACAATGAAGTCTGGCTGCTAGGTGTTAATGTCTAAAGGTAGGGAGGAAATCTTGAAGAAACAATAGAAAAATTTGAGCCACAGTATCATCGTGAGACTCGTTCGAATTTTTCATACTCATCAAGCATTATTTTGGACAAATGAGACCACCTTGTCATGGCAAAAGATTTTAGCTGACGTACGACACTAGCTAACTGTACAAATGTGTTATGTATTGCACACTTTGGCTCAAAATTTTAAAAACGCGGTATTCAGGGATTACACGAAATGAACACGAAAATGTTTACTATCAGCATTAAAAGCCTTTGCTCTTCACAAAAAAAAAAAAAAAAGTTTGATACTGTCAATGGAACTGCTTAAAACAACTTTGTGAAGCAGTGATAAAAAAAAATTAGAATTGCTGCTGAGAAGCAGTATTTTAGAAGAAAATTTGTGTCAGCCTAACATTTTACGCTCGCTGTAGTGCACGTATGGTGAAAAAAAAAAACTAAAAAATTACTCGCTTTGTTGCCACGTCAATATTGAATCTGGATTCACACGAGCACGGGTGCTTGCGTCTTCATGGTGGCAGGGCCAGCAGCAATCGGTCCCGGTGTGTCAATGTACACAAAACAATTCACCAATGTCGTAGAAAAGTTACATCCTTTCCTCCAGAGCAACCATGCTCGAAATGATCTGTGCACATCCCTGAATCATTCTATTAGAAAACCAAGAACGTTTAGCAAATTGGTAAATAAATAGGGCAACTTAAGTAGCTGCATCAAGTAAAATGTGCTCAACAGAATGAACATCATCTTTGAACTAACCTGCCAGGCTCGTCACTGACAGTTTCTATCGATCTCGGCCAGATGGCAGCACATCGCTTTAATATACATTGTGCAAGAGGGCTTTGCAAATATAAAAGTTGCAGCACGGCGCTGACGTTAAAAAGAGTGCAATATGGGTCAAATTCAAATGACCCCGATTCGCTCGGTAGTCACCTGTATTTGAATCGAGGCTTGAATTCCTGAACGGAAGAATATTAGCCAAATTCCCTTTCTCATTCCATGGTCCACATTGCAGTTCAAGTCTCTCCATATCCTCATCATATGCAGCACACCTGTGATAGTCTGATTCTTGGGCATTGAAACACTTGCATGATTGCAGCAATGACACTGCATACATAAAAGACGGCACCAGTGCAGTGGAATTTGTAATTACATTCATCATGACCTGAACTGCAATGCTAGTCATGTACTCAACATTAAAAAACCTGTTGCTGTGGGAGCAATCAGAAGCAAAATCTGGTATTGTCGAGTGCAGCCAATTTGTGCATGGTGTTTTGCTAATGGTAATTCCAGGTTCCCTCTTGTACCTTGTCATTGGATTACAGTGCAAGCGGCATCATGAAAAAGTTGTGTGCAACGAGATTCTAGTTAGCAGGTGACTTCTAATTAAAAAAGTTACCAGCAAATAGTACAACTGAAACAATGTGTCAACTGTTAACAGAACGAGGAGAGGAATAAATAAGTTACACAATATGGGACACAAGCAAATTCAGGGATGACTGCAACAGCACGTACGACCCTGAAATCAATGAGTGTTGAAAGGGTGCCTTTCAAAATCTGAAACACATTTTCAGGTGAATATTAGCATGTGCTCCTGATATGGTAAGCAGTGGTACTGACTTTCGTAGTTTTTTCGTTTCATAAAGCTTTTGACTGTAGTTTCACTATCTACAGTTAAGAAAAACGAGACAGCTGCGTGGATAATTCTGCCCCTAGTTAGTCCTAAATGTGAGCTGCTTTTTTTGTTTCCATTTTTTTTTTTTGTGCTCTTCTCTGCTTATGCATGATGAAACTATACTGCGCTTCTTTTGTGAATTTTTAAAGTGTGTCATTAACATGTGTTACGTGTCACTATCAGTGTTTTCATGTATATAGTGTTGCATTTTAGTGTTGCATGTATATAGCTATTTGTGTGCAGTATATATAACTGGACAGATAAACTTTCCATTTTTCTAGACTCTAAGTCCTCATTCTAAGCTTCTACTGAGAATAGTTTGTACACGTTTTCTCTGTGTCATATCATTTGTAACATTCCTGCAATTTATGTATTCTTTCAAAAGATGTACAAACTCTCTTCTTGTTGGGAAGCATTATTTTACTGCTTGTGTTTGAACAAGTATCTCCTGCCTGTAATTTGAACCATTGATAACCAATGGGAAATCGCATATACCGATTGCATTGAACTAGTTACAGCTTATCTAGAAATATTCAAATGTAAAGTAGCTGTGACTATGATAGTACGACGACCTGCCTGTTCTTCATTTTCATTGATTTTTATGTCACTTCGTGCGTAGGTATCCAAGTGGAGCCCTATCTGAAGGCCCTGCACATCACACTTGCGTACCAGTTTCAATTAGAGCAGTACGCCACATTAGAGAAGCTTAGCCAGGCTATCAACACCAACACTGCGGCATGCTGGGAACTCAGGCTGTACTCCCGTGACACCAGAATAAAAGGTTGCGAGGTATGATCGAGTATCCTGTGATGTTCTATGCTTGGACAGTGTACTTGGAAGCAATCACTCTATATGCATGATATGGTGCCCCGTAGTTGCATTTCAAGTTTTCACAAATTATCAGAACGTTTTAAAAAGACCTTTCCCCGCTTTTTATACGCTTGAAATTTTACACGAGGATTCTCCCAGTTGAGTAAAAACAGTGAATGAACGCGCATTGTATGAAGTGTTTCAGTAGCAGCACAGTTGTAGAGACTCTTTGCCGCCATCTTGAACTGCGGCCTGCGACCAAGTAATGGCACCCTTTGAATCCTGCCCGATTATGTTTCACCATGGGGGATGGGAAAAGGGGCCTTTTGCTCAAGATTTCACAACAGCGTATCAACGTTACTACCATGGTTTGGTTTGCACACATGCACGTCACTTGTAATCCTGTCATTATGAGAATGAGGTAATTCAGTAATCAGTCGTTTGAGTAGTCCCCTCCTCCCTCATTTTTTTAAAATTCATACGCTTTCTTCAGCAGAAGAGTTAAATAAATTCACTGCGGCATAGCTCGCTCGACCGTGATGTTTCAGTGATTGGCTATTCCTCACAAGAGCTGACGTTCCACCTAGCGTCACAAGAACACTTTCATATGGGCTGTCCGAGAAGCAGGGTTTGAAAACATATCATAGGGTGCTGCTGATTATACGTGTATTCATGCATATTCTGTGGTATGCTTTGCAAAACAGCGCATAAAAAGGATAGAAAGTGGGGAAGACAGGTAGCACTGCTGAAATTTCCTTCGTTGTCTTCATTTTCTTTGTGCACTGTGCGTGTTTATTGTCTTTTCTCTCAAAAGATTAATGATCAATAATGAGCCCACCTCGCCATTTGTTACAATTTTGTTAAATTGCAAGTAGCAGCATTTTGTGCAAACTTGTTCTCTGTTGTCGCCCCGCCGCGGTGGTCTAGTGGCTAAGGTACTCGGCTGCTGACCTGCAGGTCGCGGGTTCGATTCCCGGCTGCGGCGGCTGCATTTCCGATGGAGGCGGAAATGTTGTAGGCCCGTGTACTCAGATTTGGGTGCACGTTAAAGAACCCCAGGTGGTCAAAATTTCCGGAGCCCTCCACTACGGCGTCTCTCATTATCAAATGGTGGTTTTGGGACGTTAAACCCCACAAATCAATCAATTGTTCTCTATTGTATGCACTGGTGCAAGTAACATGGAGAGGTGCTTTTCATCCACTGCTTGCTCACTTTGTTTATTCTCTGGAGCATCAGTATTTGTGACATTGCCTGAATCCCTCTGAAAAACTTTGAGGCAGAACTTCTGGAAAAGATTTCTGTGAAAGACCTAAGATTGAAAAGATGAATATTCTTAAACGGGGAGGGGGGGGGGGTTGCCAGCAATGTTTATCTCTGCAAAGATTAAGAATACCACTACTCGACCCTCTCAAGCTGAGAAACCTTGCTTCTTTACTGCAGGTCCACAAAGTGCTGTACTCGCATGTGCCAAAGGAGCCCGATGAGCTGGAGCTTCTCATCGGCGACTTCGTGTACGTGAGCGGAGAGCACCTTGGTGCGGCCACCGATGGCTGGGTGGAGGGCACCTCGTGGCTCACAGGAGCCACGGGATTCTTGCCCAAGAACTACATTGAGCGGACCGCCGAGTCGGATGCCTGGACACTGCACAGGTACGACCATCGTTGAAATGAAAGGAGGTCCTTTGCCACTTTATTAAGCAGTCATCGAATGACCTCAGCATCACAGATTATGGCCTCGTAAATCGATTTGTTCAAAAGTTTCTCAAATCCACCAAGAATGAGTGCTTCATCTCTTCTGTCGTCCCGATAAGCACGCTGAAAGATACCCGGAAGAATGGCACGACGGTTGGTTCGCGTGCATTGAATGTTTTGCTCCACACAGCTGATGCCTTCTTTCCATAACACTGCCAGCCATCTTCTGACAGGCGTCGCAGTGGTTACGTCAGCGCGTGTTGGTTTTGTGAGCACGCATGATGATGCACATTAGTGGCTCTCACGTGGCTCTATCCTGTTGTGATTTCTAAGCAGGCAAAAGTGGCTACTCTGTAACCTCGGCAGACTAGGAAGCACAATTCTAGTGTGTGGCAGCACCCTGTGGCAGAAAGCACATTTGTTCCTATCACGGCTATCACTTTATGTCGGCTATATGCCGATTGCATGCTATTTGTTGTTTGACGTCAAACATTGGTGTTGTTCGGTGCTGGCAGCTCTGAAAAGAGCGAACTCGGGTTTGGAGAAAGGGCGTCCTAGAAAATGGCATATCACGCTTCTCGCTTCCGAACTATCCTTGCTGTGCACAACTGCAAGATTTGGCTCAGCTATTCAGAGCAACGTGTGCTCTTCACAAGATTTGTTTTCTCACTAAGGTCAAGGAAAGGTTCGTTACCCGTTGAGAAGGCTCCTCTTTCCTGGTAGCCAAACACAAACAGCTCAGCATAACCCAAAAGCCCACTGTGATGATAAAGTGGCCTGTATTGCAGTGATTCCGTTCGGGCCGAACCATGAGAGTTAAATAACTAAGAAACTAGGATGAAGTGGATCACAATTGGCAAGCATTCTCAAATCATGAATGGTAATCGGCCACTAAGTCTCAAAAGGAAAATGTATACAGTCAAACCTCAATATATCGAACACGGATATATCGAATTATTGCCTATATTGAACGGTTCCTATATCACGCGGTAAATCGCATGCATTATTGATTTTTTATTTCGAACAAAGTTTGACATATAATGGATATATCGAACTCAGTCACCCCAAATCGCCCGCGCTCCATTGACAGGCGGCGAGCTTTCTCGCAACTCTCGAAAGTAGTGGTAGAGCGGAGGGCATTTACGAATGTTGCACACATCGATGGTGCCGAGAGCGCCACTTTAACGTAGCGGCGTACGCGCGCCGCAGTCTTGCGGTAGAGGTTCTTAAATGAGGAAAGAGAAGAGAAAAGCGCGGAGCTGTTATCGTCTTTCAATTAGGGTGCCTTGATGCCCGCGCGCTCCGCTGAGGGTGAGGACAGCCGCGTCGTCTGCTACTACCGTCGCCATTGCGCCTCCCCACCACAACTCGACCGTATGCAGAGCCCGCTACGCAACGCTCGTGTGGTGCCCTGATACGCTCGGAAACGTGTGCAAGCTAGGGAGCTTTTCTTCTTATTGAAGCTTGCACATCTTATAGAGTTAATTTTGCCTGAATGCATGCAGGGAGCGCATATTTCATGTAAGCTGACAGCTTGCGCATGATTTATGCGCTAGAGGCAGACGCTGACTCTTTCATGTTGAAAACAAATCCCTACGCCGGTTACCACAGAGGGGATTCTAAATATATATCGGTGGTGTCGTTTATATGCTTCCTTTGTTAGTGTTAATTATTATCTGAGGCTTTTACGTTCTAAAATGACACCTGATTGCAGGACTGCAGCAATTTTGACAATCAGTTTTTTTTTTGCCTGCACTGACACAGTACATGGGTGTCCTCTGGTGTTTTACGTTATTCAAAATGAGACCGCCGTGGCCTAGATCAAAAGCGTGAGCCTCGCGTCAGCAACCGAGCACCATGCCCACGGTACCACTGAGGCGGACGCCTTTCTTATTGCATTAGTTACTTCTCCACAATCTTCTCATCGCACAACTTGACTTGTTTTTTTTTTGTTTGTTTTTTTGCGACATAGCGTGTTCATTCTACACAGCGGTGCCCCGTCTTGTCTTTATGCATCTTCTTTGTATGGACGCTTAGCGAGTACAGTTTGCATATGCACTTGCGTATGATCCCTGATAGCTCACAGTATTAATAAATAAATTATTTACTTAAATAATAATGTGTGCTGAAAGAGTTTAAATACTGACGGTGTGTGTGTGTGCGTGTGTACACGCCTGCTGTTTCCCCTATTATCATCCAGTGTAGAAATAATTTATTTTTGTGCATTAATGCAGCGCTGCCAGAAGCAATTCAAATTATACGCTCCATGGCAGAATTCGCTGAGTACTGTCACTAGTTGCTTCGCAGTGGTCGTAAATGATTAAAAAAACAACATCAATTGGGTAATGATTCGAGACAGAAGGAAAAGAAAACTTGAAGTACAGGAACAATGAAAAAAATTTGAACTGCACACATTCTTACAAGTGTCATCACACCAGCATAGAAGGCGTACCTAAACCGAGGAAAAGATAGTAGAAAGAAAGAACCTGTGTGGCTCTGTAATGGTTACGGCGCTCGAACGGTCGGTAATCGAATTCCGGCCGCAGTGGCCCCACTTCAATGGAGATGAAATGCCGGAGTTTTTAAACTTAGGTGCAAGTTACATAAAAACACCTGTTCAAAATTTCCGAAGTCCTCCAATGTATACCGCGTCTCTCGTGATCATATGGTGATTCCGTAACGTACACACACTCTTCAAACTTCATTGGGTACGACACCACCGCTGCGCAAAGCTTTATTCCCACAAATGAATATTACGAAGAAAAAACAAGGATATCATCTGCAAAGAAACACGTGAAACCAAGAATGAAGGGCAGATACAGTACCAACCAAGAGCAGCAAGCAATGTTTACGAAGTGAATTACGTGATTCATGCACACGAGAATCAAGCATACAGCCGTCAGCATGTCTGTTGCTTACATGAAATTGGTGCCGGTACAAATTATGCATGCGGAATACCGGCTGGAAACTTACGCTGTGAATGGATGATCTGTTTGTCGGATGCCACTTGTCATGTTTGATTTTCACTGTTGAAAAGGCCTTCATTTCGGGTCTCTTAGGAAACGGTACAGCTTCCAGAGTTTCTGCAATGATTAGTGCCCTGCGGCACGCAATACCAGCTACGGTGACGGTAGCGAGCGCCAGCAGAATTATTCGGGCGCAGCAAACACGCAGAAGTGACTGAGTGGAGTCAAAATGGCGGCCATGCCGCCGCTAAGGCCGAGGAGGCGGCACCTGCCCTTACAAAGGCTGACACCACTCTAAGCGGGGGCGCGTGCATCGAGGCATTTTACTTTCAATACGAAGGCACCGTCACGACTTCGCGCGGGGGAAGAGTGAGTGGGAGGTAAAGATTAAGGAGGAAAATATAGGAGGGAAAGGACGCAGACGACTGTCTCGGACGCGGCCCGCACTGCCGCCGGGAAAGAGAAAGCAGTCAGGCGAGCCGGCATGGGCGCGCCATGTGCGCGCTTTACACCCGGACTCACGCCGCAGCCTTGGCACAGTGGCACACTGCGCACTTGTTGCAAGTTCTTCCCCCGTAGCATCGGCAGACATCGGTCGTTGTGCTCGCAGTGTTCGTGCATTCGGAGTTAGGCCTGTCGCGTGCTGTGGTGCGCGACAGGCCTAAGTCCGAACGGCGGAGCTCACGGATGTGGAGATTGTCGCCGAAGCTACTGCTGAGCAGCCAAATGAAGACTCTGCCGACGTGGAGCCCGCAAGCGCTGATGGTGCCCCGCTCCCGACATCAGCTGAGATCGTAGCTGCCTTGGCGCTTGTGCGCCGCCACTGCGGCGCGATTGAAGGCACCGGCCTATCACTTATGGATCGCCTGGACTATATTGAGGACGCAGTCGTCAAACACGCCATGGCCAACAAAAAGCAGGCTACTCTTTTTCAATATTTTAAACCAACACAATAAATACTATGTTTGAATCTTCAAGTGAGTATTTACTGCACCACATTTGAATGGCTCGTTGGTTGTTTTCAGCAAGCTGTTGACGCATTTTTTTCGTGATTTTTTATATCGAATTCTGGATATATTGAACAATTTCGCGATCACCGCGCCGTTCGATATATCGAGGTTCGACTGTATCAGCTACATCTTGCCGCTACTTACCTACGAAGCAGAAACCTGAAGCCTTACAAAGAGGTTTCAGCTTAAATTGAGGACGACGCAGCGAGTGATGGAAAGGAAATTGCTAGATGTAACTTTAAGAGACAAGAAGAGAGCAGAGTGGATCAGAGAACAAACCGGGATTAAGGATATCATAGGTGAAGGTTCGTATACTGATTGAGCATGCACAGATAAGTTCTCGTACAAAACCCAAGGTACAGAAAAAAATTTTTTTTTGAAAGCGATAAGCACTATATTATTAGTCTACCTTATAAAGCACACTTTTTTAGGCACATGTGAGCATTATAAGCAGGTCCTACTTTTTTACATTTTTATGATTAAAATTTGCATTAAAAGTGAACCTTACGAGAACACTTCCAGCTCGTATTTCACTCAATGAAAAAAAAAAAAAGTTTTTTGTAGGGACGTAAAGGAAGCTTTGGCAAGTGCGCTGAACCAAAACAAATGATATAAAATGGACATTAAGGGGAGACGCTCCTCGAAAAAGTTTTTTTTTATTTCAAGTAATAGAGACTTGAAAAGTTTGTTATTAGTATAGTTTTTCATGCAGATTTCAAATATGCACTCATTTTTTGTGTAGCTGCTATAATTATTGAGTTATGCCATAAACAATAGCAAAAAGTTACATTTTTTGCGGGCACCCTTTATGTTCCTTTCAGTAAAAGCACTGTGTCTCATCTTATTTGACTTTTGGTAGATTGAAAAGTGCAAATATCTATATAGATATGTCACAGAAATATTGGAACCAAGAAAAAGAATTGTATTGAATGACTTATTATTTTCAATCTCCCTTGAAACAATAAGCTAATATTTTCACAACTAATGCTGGTAGGCATTGCAATTTAGAGTAGATATTTGCATTCTGCATGTGTTGAAGAATATGTGTGCCAAGTTTCGTTACTATACAATGAATATAAGTTTCTAAAAGGCTGCCCGGAAAACGTGAAACTGTCAGAAAAAATGAAAATGAGAAAAACAAGTTTGAAAGTTCGCAAAGTTGGCATTTATTAGGAAATCATTCTTTTTGCATCAAATTGGGGCACAATGAAAAGTACCTTGCCTTGAATGCATTGCAAGTGTCTAGAAGTCCCCTGCACCATAGCTTGGTCTTTCACGGCTCTTGCGGTCAGTGTCCTCAACACGAGCTCTCTTCGCTGTGTTGCAACGGTGTGCCCTCGCTTCTGCAGTTTGCTTCAGGTTCATCTTCCTGATGCGTATGACGTCACAGTGGTCACCATGTGTGGCCAGATCTTGTGAGGGGAGAATTCCAATGCCTTCGAGCACTTCTTCAAAGCCCCTGTGGCCTTTGTTGTACCAGAGTACAGCAAGAGCGGTGGCTGTCTCCACAGTTGTTCTGGAGGCGAACTTTGTTTTTGGACATAGCAGCCATATCTTGCAGTTCAGCGATTCGGCTGCATTCTGTGTCTTGCCATGAAGGCACCGAATAAGGAGTTTCTCCTCTGTAAGGCGCTTGTAGATAGGCATAATTGCCAATCCTGAGCCTTCGTCAACAGTGGGGTGTGGCGTGGTGCAGGCTCCCCCAGTGCTTCCGCACGCTTGTGCTTGCACCACGAATTTGGTCCCGCGGGGCAAAAGTTGTGGCTACTGGCACCATCACTGGAGCAGCAATGAAAATACGATGCCCATATGGCAGTGTACATATTTCGGACACTGTCCTTGTTGCTCGTGATGGCGATCTTGTAATATGTTTGTAGTTTTATTATTGTCGCATCTTTCAGTTTTTCGCCTCGTGGCAGTGGCGTTGCCAATTTCCGTAGGGCAGTTCCCAAGCGCTTTGCAACGTGGTTCGTGCACTCTTCTTTGTCAATGGGGGTGTCACAGTATACATTTGCCTCACAGACTGCAGTGTAAGCCTTGCTGTCACCATCACTTAGGAAGCTGGTGAATTGCAGTGGAGTTTCATAAGACAAGGTCCTCTGCCATATATTGACAGCTGCCGCAGGTTCCATTGCATGGGATGAGCAGTCAGTGTTTTTTTTGGCAAACTGGAAGATGAAAAGCTCGCCATATCTCTTCATTCTCCCCAAGGTCCCTGTGTATACTGCAAGCATGGCAGTAGTTCGAAAGAGCTTCAAAATGGAGGCAGAGCCCCGTGTCCAGGGACACGACTGTGCCCACTCCATTGTGGCTTTTATGACCTCTTTTCTGCCAGGTGCCATCAAACATGACTGGCACATCTCTGCCGCCGTCATCGCCGCACCATGGAGCTTCTTGCAAATGCCGTTGAATGTCTTGTGATGCATCGGGCTCGGAAGACCGAGAATCGCACAAAATCGTGAAAGTTGGTCGTGGCCTGCGCCTATAGCGCGTGCTGCCAGAACTGCCTTCACGTTTACAGCAAAGCTGTCACGCGAGCTGCCGCTGTCAAAACGAGCGCTCGCTCCTTGGTCCCCGGCCGAAGCAGTACGTCTCGACGTGTGCGTGAACGAAAGTGCAGATTCAGGGCAATCAGAATTTTGACAGCACAGTTCGAGGAATGCCGAAAGTCCTTTGCGCTTTCCAGCTGCCTCTCGCACGCCGAGCTTCTGTTCGCGGCAGGTTGGGCATTGCGCACCCGCCACAAGTGCCGTCAGCGCATCGATTTCGCAAAGCAGCATGTTCGCAGTAGCAGCATCTACCGGACTACATTCACTTTCGAAGAATCCAATCTTCCTTTGGGATGCACTGACGAATTCCACGGCAGCGGCTATTTCACAACCACTGTCGCAGGGTTCGGTGACGGTGTTAGGCCTATCCGAAGTCGGAGCGTCGGGGCGTTGGTCGGGGGCGACATCGTCGTTCGCTGTCGCTTTGCGAAGCGTCCGACGCCGTTTCCCTCGATACTTGTGGCGAGTTCTGAACTTTCGATTATCTGAACTGCACTTCTTCGGGCTTGCCATGACGCAAAAATGCAGAGAAACGCAGAAAAACTCGATCGCGACGTCCGAGGCTTCGCTCTTTTGCCGGAGAGATAGGAGGGGGAGGAGCGTGGAGCGCACCGCCGTCCAATGGCAGCCTCGCGCTGTGTGCCGCGATATTCAAAACGCGTGACGTACGCGTTGTTTTTCTCGTTTTTTGTTTATTCTGCGTGAAGGCACGAGACTGGCTACTAGTGGATTATGAAGGATACGGCCTTCGCAGCATGCGTGCACGATTGCAAATGGCGGCCAACGCGTCGTTTTCGCGACAGGACGACGCGAACTTCGCCGTTTTTCGCGACTTTCGCGCATTTCTCGCGTCACCGCTGCCCCACTTGGAAGCATTTTTTGATAATTTCTCGTGCGAATTTCAGCTTGATATTTTCAGAAGTAATAGATTATAGTCCAAGGATGCCAATACAGCCGGAAAAAAAAAAGCGAAAATTTTCCGGAAAACCGCGACTTTTCGACCCGCGTCTCCCCTTAAGTGCATGGTAATTACATAACCAAAAAATTATGCACTGACACTAGGGGCACCTTCGTAAAAAAGGCAAGCATGGTCCTCCTTATTGAAGTTCATTGTACACCCGCTAATGTAATTAAGGAGTGTGCCAAATTTTAATGAGAGATTTATTAACACAAATGGTACGATAGTTTGCATACAGAAAATTACTAGAAATTTATGTGCTGAGAAAATTAACGAAAAAATTCAGACAGGTGCAGTGCGTACACGATGTGATCAGGGGTGCTAAAATTCTCTATAATTGCGGCGAGTTCCATCGTGCTGCGACGAAACTTCGCCGCCCCTGAAGGGGGACCCTACGCATGCCTATGGGCATCGTACCAAACATTGTCTTGGTCACTGTGAACATGGACAGCCAACAATCATAGTCATTGAGGCTGTGCTCACGCCATTGACCATTGCTGCTACCTCACCTAGCCAAAACAAGCTTTTTATCATTTTGTTTCCAGCACTGCATTGATTCGGTGTACGTCCTTGTTCTCCACTTCTGTGCAGATCGATAACAATTGTGAAGGATGTCTTTATTGACGGTCTGGACGATGCTGTACTACCAAGGAGGCCAGCAGTAGCTGCAGCACAGGCTCCATCTAGCCCTCAAGTGAGTGCCGCCCTACTATCTTTGTGCTGTGCTCGAAGTGCAACAAATTTCACGGCCCAGCTGTATTCACAGCATCAGCGGGGATTACCACCATTGGCCATAGCACAGTGAAAACCAGACACACACTCGAACCTCATAACAACTAAGTTGCATCTCGCACGAAAATAAGTTTGTTATATCCGAAAATTTGCTATAAAAGTATATTCCTAACACTATATTACAAGACTATTTCTAATTTACTTTGTTATAACCGATATTTCGTTATACCGAGGTTTGTGTACAGTCGACTGCCAGTGATATGAAGTTCACGAGAACCGCAAAAGACTTCAAAAAGCAAAACACTGAGAAAACTGAGTTTTTATTGCTTCGCACCTGACAGTTCTCTAATAAAATAGTCTTTCATCTTCTCTTGCCGAACATGGCTGCGGCTAGCAAGTTTTCCAATTCCAAGCACAATACGTGTCAAAGTGCTTTGCCTGCAACAAAACATAAAAACTCCAGCGCAAGAGCAAGACCCGCAGCAACATCGGTAGTCCAGGGTGGTGATTTGTTTCTATGTCATCGTCTTCTAGCTGAACCATCTGCACAATATTTCTGTTCATTTGTCAACCACATGTAGCAACATTGTTGCCCATGGCAACGAATTTTTCAAAACTGACGTTGCTATGAACAGCCTCAAAACTGCAGTCGTCAAGTTCACCTGTTTACATGTGATGAAATTCCAGAGTGAGTTAGGTTTAAGGGGGGACGCGGTCTTTGAAAACCGAAAAATCGCGAAAAAGTCGATTCTTGGCAAACCACATATTCGGGCAGTATGTGTCATGAACTACCTTTTCTGTAAATATCAACGTCTAATTCGTCGCGAAACCATTTGAAATAAAGTTTAGAACATGATGCGGCGGCCCTCGAGCGGCGCGCGAGTGCTCAAAATACCCCAACTTGGCGTGATCGCAGTTTCTCGACCGCTCGACGGAGCGCCGCCATTTTGGTGTTGTTTTGTTTGTGAATTCTTGCTCTTTCTTTCCCTGCCAGCTGCGTCGCCGGCGGCAGCGCAGGAGAGGAGCAAGCCGCTCATAATTGGAGGGCTCGCGAGAGCTTTCAAGTTTCCCGCGGCTGAGGCGCGCAGCTGGGATTGGGCGAAGCGCGCGCTCCCCAAGGATGCGGGGGAGCCCGCGACTGCCATTGGCTGCTGCGCGCGATGATGTAGCGCTCTTGCGCATAATGCGGCCGATGCGGCCGCTCGTCTACTGCTCCTCCGTCCGGCGTCTTTGTGTTCCGCTCGCTTCCGTGTATCGTTGCAGCCGTTCGCATACTCTCCACGTTTCAACTGTCTTCGAAACGATTTTCAATTGTCTTTACGAGACGATTTTCAACCGTCTATACGAGACCGTTGTTGTGTTCGCTCACGATGCGCCCAACGAAAAAGAAGACGCTACAATCGTTCGGTTCAAGGAAGCGAGCTATGAAGCTTGTCCGCGCGGCGAGGCTCTCCGCTCGCACGTGCGCCGACGGTGATCGCGCCGACGGTACCTGTGGGGCAGCTTCTGCTTCATCTACGCAAGAGAGTGGTCGCATCGACGCGCCTAGCAACGGGACTCCTGCTCCGCCGGTGCAAGAATTTGTCGGTTACAAGTACGCCTGGTGTCTCGTGCTCATCGACAGTGGCTTCCGCATCTTCTCTTTCATCGGCCTCGAGTGCGATCGCGTCGTCAACTGTGCATTTGCGAACAAGTTTCCTGACGTGCGAGGAGAAAGAGGTGGCGGATCAACAACGCGCTGCTGTGCAAAGAGAACTTGGCGCTATGCCAGCGACGGAGCGGAAATTTCAGGCAATGGAGCGCGATCATGAAGCTGCCACCGCTACAAGTGAAGGCGAAAAATTTTTCCTTGTGCAAATGGATGCCCTAGACGACCTGCTATCTCGGACCCCGTGCCACCGGTTCACCGCGATTGGGATGAATGTACGAGGAGGCACCCAACTTGGACTTGCTGCAAAGCTTGAGCTAGTATGCTTGCATTGTGGAGTAGTTTCAAGCTCATGGAGTTCCTCTCGTCAGGATGACACAAAGGCCTTTGATGTGAATGTAAGAGCCATTATGGCAACAAAACAAATAGGCAAGGGACAAACAGCTCTCAACGACTTTTGGGCAGCGATGAACGTGTCCCATCGTGGCCTCCATCACAAGACCTTTCAAAAGCACCTGAAGAAATTCAGGGAACCGCAGACACAATGCATAGAAAATTTCTATGCAGAATCTGCTTCTGCTGTAAAAGCCACTTACAAAGAAATGGATCAATATTTCACCAGGGATATAACAGTTTGTTATGATGGAACATGGCACAAGCGTGGGCACACATCCCATATTGGAGTCGGGGCAATTATCGAATACCATACGGGCCTTATCTTGGACGCCGTTGTTCTGTCTAATCAGTGCCTTGGATGCCAAGTAGGGCCAAAGCCTGGAGACGCAGACTATGCATGCTGGCTGAGAATCATGTGTGCCAGAAAAACACCGACTCTAAATCAGGGAGAATGGAGGTTGAGGCAGCTATCATCCTCTTTTCACGCTCACTGTCGAAGCACAACCTCCGTTACACAACGCTCGTGTCTGATGGAGATAGTGCCACCTTCTCTGCCCTTGTACAAGAAAATGTTTATGGACTGGTCCCCATTTCAAAAGAGGAATGCCTGAACCACGTTCAGAAGAGGATGGGGACTGCACTTCGCAACCTTGTGCAGAAAAGTGACAAGGCTTTGGGAGGGAAGGGCAGGCTGACAAAGGCCCTCATCGACAAGTTGACAGATTATTATGGCTGGGCCCTACGGAACGATTCCGATGATGTGGCTGCAATGCGGCGGACAGTGATGGCATCGTACCACCATGTGACGTCGACGGATGAGGGCCGCATTACGACTTGTGCCCAGAGGGTGCAGACTCCTGGTGTCGTCACAATGCCAGCAAGATTACCGGTGTTCCACCTCCGAAGCATTCGTACAAGCTGCCACGCTATGTTGCTGATGCACTTCTACCCATTTATGAGAGGCTCTCACAGGCTTCTCTTCTGCAACGCTGCCTGGGAGCAAAGACGCAGAATGCATCAGAGTCCTTTCACTCTGTGCTGTGGTCCCTCATGTCCAAAGAGCAGCATGCGTCACCGATTACTGTGGAGACAGCACTGCATGATGCAGTGCTAAGATACAATGTTGGCTGCTACAGGGCCACCCAAGAGTTAGCTTCATTAGTGGGGCTAACACCTGGCCACCTGGCCATTCAACGGGCAGCCGAGAAAGATTCTCTGCGCTTGAAAAAGGCTAAGAAGCGATCCCTAGAGAAGATGGAAAGGCGACAAAGAAAGAGAGTGCCAAAGGACACCTCCAGTTACGCTGCAGGTTCATTTTAGAACTGCCTATGTGCTCAAAACTTTCAAACGTCGTTTTCTCAAAATGACTTTTTTGGCTAGTGAGGCTGCTTATTCCAGCCATATCTCTGGAACCACTCATTGGATTTCCATAAGTCTTTTTTATTATGTACATGAATAAATTTCTGATGGGGTGACAAGCCCATTTTTTCAATATATTGTGTGTGTTATTTATTATATTAATCAAAATTTGATTGATAATATCCTAATCACGAACACAAAGTTTGATGGTCTGCTAAAACTTTTCAGCAAGGAAATTCAAAAAAAGGACTCTGTTACCCCCTGGAGTATCAATCTGGGAATCATCATAGTTAATTTCACAGTTCCAGCATCTTTTGAAAGTTCTCCAGGCCTGGAATAAGAGAACCATGTGCACTACCCTGATATTCTGCTGTAACTTGAAAACCAGTGAACATAACTTGATGAAATTTTGTAGTTCTTCTAATGCTTTTGCTATAAGTCTATCCTGAAAATTTCATTAAGATATCTCAATAAACAAAAAAGTTGGTATCCGATGGTAGCCTCCCCCCTTAATGCCATACTTTTGTGCAATATCTTGCTTGGCAGTGCCTCCGTGGTCAAATTCTTTCAAGACTTTTGACTTCCGTTGCCAGGTCAAGCATTCAGAAGGGGCCATGAGTTCCCATTATGAAACGTCACCAGCACAATCAGCTGAGGAAACTCGTGCGGAATTAACCCACAGTGCATTGGCGGGCTGGTTGGTTTATCATGCTATGTTTGAACATTGCAACTGGTCGCGGACGAAGTAGAACAGGCAAACACTCGCACACAGCACTGTGTGTGTGTTTGAGCGCTCTTTTCCGCTAGCGTCCAGTTGTGCTCATCCAACTTCAACTAGACTTCAAACCAGCACGTGGCTGATGCACTCAACACATCATAACGAAATACATAGTTGGCCAGTGTGATCAATTCTATGCCACGGCTTTGCCTAAACAAGATGGCCGCTTCATAAACCGTGGTGCTGCGGGCAGTGGCGATGGCGACAACAGCACGGTCGAACAGCTGTCTTGGTATTTTTGGCACATGAAAAATTACGGCTGCCTCGAGGCTGTCGACTGAAAAATAAATTCTAACTAACCAACATTACATTACTTCTAATTATCGAGCATTTCTTCCCATAGGCGTGCATGCAAAATTGATGGGACCACTTGTTGACTTTTAATTAACCAAAAATTCCAAATCTAATCAAGTGACTTTGAATTATCGTGACTTGACTGTATATATCAAACTACGAGGTGATTTGGAAATGCTTCTGCATGTCAGTCATTCAATATACCATATTGTGCCAATACCAGCTTGTAATAAATCATTCCCATATTTCTGTAAAATCATAACATATGGTACGGCAGCTTACAGATAAACATATGCGAAGGCGCGATTGTCAGCGAGCACAGCACAGTGTTGAAAACATTTTTTATATCGATTGAAGCCATCCCCGCTTAGCAGACACTGATGAAACAGCGAAGCAGAGGGCGCACAGTGAGGTTCAATGAAGTGGAAGGAGTTGCAGGAGCAGTAGTGAGAGTGGTGGGAAGTGTGGCACATATCTGCAGGTGGGTTCACCCACCATCTATGTGTGCATCTCTCTACGATCTATGCCAGCTTCCGAACACGAGAGCCTCAGCTAGTACTTCCACTCTTAAAAATCTTAGTGCGAAATCTAAAAATTTCTGTGAGCCCACATATTTCATTACCTCTCTCTCTTTCTTGTTGAGTCAGTGTATCGTGCGTGCTGCTGCTTAGTAGCCTGCTGTCCATGCAGCACAAGCTTTGTGTTCACTGCCAATGCATTTGGATCTGGGGAAATGTTACGGGCAGCTGTGCTTCATTTTCTGTATTGCGTGGCCCCGCCATGCGCGTTAATGCTCCTATACAATACAAGTGATTTTCAGGGTGGTGTCTGGACTATCAGTGTAAGGATTAATGTTAAAATAAACAACTGTGATACAACCGTATCTGTAAACAGATGGCTATGTGTGATTTTGCCTGTTTTATGTCAAAGGCAGACTGCATATGATAACAGCATACAACAGTCCAGGGTCTTAAAGTGCTGCGCTCTTAATTAAAACGCATGTCTGTGTGTCATTATACTTTCTGGCTTCCTGTGCGAGCTGTGTGTGTTTGGTTTCAGATGTGTGCCAAAGCACCGGCAGTAGCCCAGGTGGCTCCAGCGTCACCGTCAGCTGCATCGTCGGCTGTGCAACCACAACCTCCACAGGCTGCAGAGAGGGAGGAAAAGGTCACCACTCCACCAAAGGAGATTATCTACGAGAACCTAGGATTTTTAAATCAAGCAGTGAGTGGGGTGTTGGTTCACTGTTTGGCTGGAAAGTGATGCATTTTAGGGGAGGAAAGAGAGACGTTTGGTGGACTGTGTGGGGTCTCGACTTGGCGAGCGCCGCACCATGCTCTTGGAGAGAACGGACACAGCAGACGCAGTCGGTACAAACCAAACAACAACATACATAATTTAACTGATTTAGAACGATAATATCAGCCGAATTATTATAACATAAATCGTGATCAACACGCTAGGACATCCTTACACAATATTACCATACATTCCAAAACATGACAAACACAATAACACGACAAACACAATAACATGACAAGCACAATAACACACCCAAGACGGCGTCGCCAACGCTTGACTTACCACAAGGGCCCCGACGCGCAGCCCGCGGTGCCACGCAACGGGGACCCACGCTAGAGACAACCGTTCGCGTCAACTGCCACATGCAAAGGAGACTCACTCAACTCTCGCCCACCACCATTGCTTGCCTTCTGCCAGGGGTCACCACCGGCGCTACCACTCTACCAATCATGATGATGATAGTGGTGATCAACACCACCTACCACCCGGTAGTTGTAACCCAAAATGTGGCTTTTGGGCAAGGCACGTGCGCCACGCAGTGCAAACAACTTTACAGGGGGTGTCAGCACCCCTACATCCTCCTAACCTTAATTCACACCATATTCCGAAAAACAAAGAAATCAGCTACACAAGCTCTAACAAAAAAAAAAAAAACCAACACATGTTCCTTCATAATGTCCGTGCACCACGACACCGCCGCCGGTCGACACCGCTGCACTATCCGGCTCGGTCATCGCTGCACTATCGACAGCGCTGCACTATCCGGCAGTACCGGTCCCACAACAGCAACGTTGCCGTCGGCGCGACGAACCGTCACTAGCGCCAACATGTGTTCCAGTTGCGACCAGCACTCACGAGGGCGCCGGACTGCAGGCAGTTGCGCAGGTCCCAGGCATCTCCATCGCCCGATTTTATGACCGCATTCCTGGCCAGTGGCGCTGACGATGTGCAGAAGACAGCCAGCCGTGGGTTGCATCACTCCCGCTGTGTACATTCCAAAACACTCGACAGAAACAATGGAGCAGGGCCTAGGGAAGGAAGATTTGGGCTTTTCGCCCACGTGGTACGATGGTCAGTACTGCTAGCTACTACATCGGCAGCGGCCGAGACGCCCATCAAAATAAAACAGAAATCACTCGTACGCTCGTCTTAACTCGTACATTGCAAGATAAAAAAAAAATGTGAGGGAAGCAGAGTGCTACACCTTGACAACACGATCTACCTACCGTAATTACTCGAATCTAACGCGCACCTTTTTTCCGGTTAAGCGAGTTCATAAATCGCATGCACGTTAAAAATCTAGTGCGAAAAAAAAATGAATACGGTCATTCTATTGCTAAAATGGCCACCCCCTACGTGCTTCGGCATGGCGCGTCGACCATTTCTGCCTATTTGTTTCCCATGTGCGACACTTCGTACGCGTGCTGAGGAGTTCTTCATCTTGTAGTTCATTAGCATCGACGGCATGGAAGGGCCGACTCTAAAAACTCGACGAGTGCACCACGATGCCCCTTTTAAAAGGAAAGTCATCGCGTGTGCATACAGACGGAAATTGGGCCGCATCGCGGTCGTTCGAAGTTCCCGAAAAGTGTGTGCGGGACTGGCGGAAACAAAAGCAGAAGATTGTCGACAGCAAAGATTCACGCAAAGGCTTCAGTGGACCACAGCAGGGTCGGTTTCCGCAAATTGAAGAGCTGCTCGCCGAGTATGTGCTTGAGCAGCGAGCGGCACAGAGGCCCGTGGCGACAGAACTGCTCTAACTGCAGGGCTATGCAGTTTGCTTTAGAAAAAGGGCTAACGCGGAGCCAATTCAAAGCGAGCAGGTGCTGGCTAACTAACTTTATGAAGAGGAAAGGCTTTTCCCTCCGAAAGCAAACGGGCATGGGCCAAAACTTGCAGGAGGAGTAAAAAAAGCTTCACAGTTTTCAGAGGTTCGTTCTAAACTTGCGGCACAACAACGGCTACCTGCTTGGCAAAATCGGGAATGCCGATCAGACGCCTCTTTACTTCGACATTCCTGGCACCACAACCGTCGAGAAGGGGGCGAAGCAAGTTCGCATGCTGACATCGGGCCACGGTAAAACAAGAGTGACGGCAATGCTCCGTTGCACGTCGGATAGGCACAAGCTTCCCCCGTACCTCATATTTAAACAGAAGACGCTCCCGAAAGGAGTCGTTTTCCCGAGTAGTGTGATCGTGCGGGCCAACGAGAAAAATGGGTGCGCGTTGCAATCGATGTCTTACTTTTTTTTTTTTTGAGAGTGCGCGTTACAATCGAGGGCGCGGTAGAATCGAGTAAATACGGTAGTTGTGCCACGTGCGACAGGCGGCTGCGCGGAGCCTTAGGCCTAATGAGTTGCTCGACAACAACCGGCATCCACCCAGCACCCAGCCTACGCGCAGAAGAGGCAGCCGCAAGGAGACATCCACTCTTTAAGGTGGCCCTATCGCTCTCCGCACACAGCAGCTTACCGAGCAATCGGCGTCCACCGCCCTGGACAGTGTTACGGTGCTTCGGCGTAATACTGCAATATCAGACTGCAACCACGCCCGGCTCCCAGAGCCTAAAAGAGATAGAAGAAGCTATTTACAAAAAATCGGACTGCCCACAAAACTTCCGTACTCGCTCGCTTCGGGCTTGGCCTACAATCCACGTGCTCTAAGCCTTGCTCACCCCAGGATGCAGACCGCATGGCTCTCATCCTCACTGAACAATGTTCTTAAAAAAACTTGCGAGCAGGAAAAAAAACATGTGAGCAGGAAAAAAATAAAAACTCAAACTCCCGACAAGTTCAAACCTGTCACAAAGCCAATCTCCTTGCTTTTCAACAAAACACACAGACGAAGCTAGCAATGAGAAGTCCCGCCTAGGCCTACTCTTCTCCGGCTTTAACAACAGCTTGTACCGAACCGCGAAAACTGTCGTTCAACACTCCAAGAGTCCCATGTTGGGAGCCAGTGTCGGGTATCGAATGGGCGATAATCGCCACAACACTCTTGGAGCGAACGGACACAGCAGAGGCGGTCGGTACAAACCAAACAACGACATACATTTATTTAACTAATTTAGAACGACGATATCATCAACCGAAATATTATAACATAAATCGTGATCAACACGCTAGGACATCTTTACACAATATTACTATACACTCCAAGACATGACAAACACAATAACACGCCCAAGGCGGCAGGCGCCAACGCTTGACTTACCACGAGGGCCCCCTATGCGCAGCCCGCAATGCCACCCACTGGGGTACTGTTCCGTTTGTATATAGTACTGCAAATGGAAATACATGCGGGTCCACTTTCTATGTGTACAACGAAAGGCAAAGCCGAGGCCTTCGAGATAGCTCTGGCAATCGCAGTAACCTACGGCAAGAAAAACCTGATTGCGGTCACAACCAACAATTTGTGATTCACATGTATGACATACATGTTAGCATTCGCTAGTTAAAGCTGTAACTGAGAGCGTTCAAAGCCTATGTGCGCAATGCTGTGTGATGGTGACCACTTCAGATTATTGGTCGTTGCTGCGTGTGCGACGTTTACCGCGCGCGTCACCCGTCTGCATTTAACACGGCGTGCATTGTGGCCAGATTCTCTGTTGAGTTTCATAATCAAAGTTACCATGGTTCACTGTCCAGGCTACTAAAAAAAAAAAAATAACAGGAGACCTACATTATCACACTTTTTCATGCGACCGGCTGCAGATCGAGAAGTAATTCGCTTACCCAACACGTTTGCAATGACCCATATCCAGCGCTCTCGCTGTTCTGCTTCGCGAAAGCTGCGTAAATTAGTACTGAAGTCCTTTACGTCCATGACAATGCACAATGCAACAGTAGCGTCGACTCAGGTCTTTCTTCGTAAAGCGCAGAGCTGTTGCGTCTGCTATTGTTCTTGCCGTCGTTCTGGCGAGTGAACCAGCAAGCACTTCATGGTGTTTCAGTGACGTGTCCGACTAGCGGAGATAAATTTGCAGCTCTTTTTTCGGGTGTTTGAGGCGCAAACGTAATATTTGGCTCAATAATTGACACACACTAGTTTCACCTGACTGCGGGAAAAACTGTGCAAGGGAGTCCGGCTTTGCACAACTCGAACTGCACAGACAGGTGGCGCTATGCGTCTGCAAAACTCCAAGGTCTGATGTCTATCCGACATAAGTGCCTCTTGTGCCTGTTACTTGACACCGCAATTAACAGATACGAAATAGGGTGCCAATGGAGAATAAGAACACAGCCCAGAATACAGAAACTACACTGCATTGAGATTAGACTAGTGCATGATAAAATGTGCACAAGACCACATGATTTGGCGTGGAGAATAATGCACTCAAGCACTGATCCAAGATAAGCGCGCATGATACGATGTTTATGTTTGCGGGCCGGAAATCAACGGTGACAAAAGTCAGCAGAGCTTGTGCAAGTCCGCGCAATGGCAGAAAAAGCAAAAGCCCGCGTCGGAAAGCCGAAAAGCTTTTAACTTTGTGGACGAGGTAGTAAGCACGATAACGTTGACGCTTTTCCCTACAGAAAACTCAACACGCACTTGATGAGGGCGCGACTTCACATTCTATGCGCAGCGTGTGCAGCCGGGCTAGCAGCCGCAGCTACACCGACCACCCTTCTTCCTCACTCTGCAAGCCCGCAGAGCTGGTGCAGCGCTGCTGCGGTCTTTTCTTCTCATTTTCCTCGCTTAAGTTAACTTTAGAGCACTCTGGATTGCAACCGCACAAATGCTGTACAGAACTAATGATCACGACCATGTTCAGGGTGTGCCTATTATGCGAGGAAATAAAAAAAAAATCAGGATTTCTCGTGACCAAACTGGGGTCGCGGCTATTGTGTGAGTACGGCTATTATGCAAGCAAATATGGTTGTAAGGAAAGGACTTAAAGACGCCGAGGAACGTCAAACCAGAACTGAAGAAGACGAGCGGAGGGCAGGTGGCCCGAAGGCGACAACAAGAAATGAAGAAGAGAAGGCACGTGCGATTACGAGGCAACTGTGCGCCAATCAGCTGATGACCAGGGGTGGCCTACAGAGGTGGCATGCCACGATTGGGCCACGTGCGACCATTACGTGGCAGTAGGCTGGGTGGCTGGGGACGAGCCTGAGCAGCGGCAGACGGGAGACAGCGGGCTGAAGCGTCGGACGCAAGCGATCCAGGTTCTGGCCAGGGAACGTGGCTGTCCATGCTACTGTCGTCCAACTACCAGCTGGGGCGGCATCGCCGGCACGAGTACTGCATCTCGGGGCGCGGCCTGGCCTGCTGTTCTCTTCCTTGCCGAGGGCATCGCGGATCTCGGCGAGGCGTCTCCGCGGTCAGCCGTTCAACACAGCGATGAACGTGGCCTGGCTAATGGTCACGGTTGCGTCGAGCATCGCGTCTCGGCGCACGCTCTTCGCTGGACGGGCTGGCCATTCCCCTCATGGAGCATCGCGTCTCCGATGCGGGTTGACCGCTCAGCAGTCGCACCCACGCCATCAAGCGCCGGTGTCACCAGAGCGTCGCACATCGGCAAGGGACGAGCGAGACGTTCTGCTCGGCGAGATGCGGGAGTGTGCACAGAGGACCACGGAGCCGTGCAAGGTCCAGGGTGGCCGAGGATCCAGGTGCCAGGGGAGTTGCTGGCTGAATCGAGGATCGCCGAGCGGTGCCGAGCCGTACCGAGCGACGCGCCAGACTCGGACGTGGGCCGCGAGCTCATGAGCTGTGCACCCGAGGGTACCTGGCGGTGCCCTGGCCAAGGCGAGGAACGCCGGTGACTGAGCTGCCGCACCGCAGCTGTGGCGAGCAGCATTTCAGCATGGCACAGACAGTGCTGTGCTGAAAGTGAGTGAAAGTTAAAGCATTGAAAGTGAGAGACGGGAGATAGCGGGCCGAAGCGTCGGGCGCAGGCGATCCAGGTTCCGGCCGGGGAACGGGGCTGTCCACGCTACTGCCGTCCAACTACCAGTTGCCGGCACGAGTACTGCATCTCGGGGCGCGGCCTGGCCTGCTGTTCTCTTCCTTGCCGAGGGCATCGTGGATCTCGGCGAGGCGTCTCCACGGTCAGCCATTCGACACAGCGATGAACGTGGCCTGGCTAATGGTCACGGTTGCGTCGAGCATCGCGTCTCGGCGCACGCTCTTCGCTGGACGAGCTGGCCATTCCCCGCATGGAGCATCGCGTCTCCGATGCGGGTTGACTGCTCCGTAGCCGCACCCATGCCATCAAGCGCCGGTGTCACCAGAGCGTCGCACTTCGGCAAGGGACGAGCGAGGTGTTCTGCCGGGCGAGACGCGGGCGTGTGTACGGAGGACCATGGAGCCGGGCGAGGATTCAGGGTGGCCGAGGATGCATATGCCAGGGGAGTTGCTGGCTGAATCGAGGATTGCCGAGCGTTGCCGAGCCGTACCGAGCGACGCGCCAGCCTCGGAAGTGGGCCGCGAGCTCATGAGCTGTGCACCCGAGGGTACCTGGCGGTGCCCTGGCCAAGAAGAAGGAACGTGGGAAAAGAGAGCTCGAGGGTTGAGGCCATGAAGGCAGACGAAGCGGTGCGCCGCTCGAGAGGACGAGTTCCTGGCAGCGTTCCTGAGCCGGACGTGGGACCCGTACGTGTCGGCCAGGTCGAGCTCCGGTGTGTTCGTTCGGGGTCGAGTCCGCCGACCTGTACAAGGTGCAAGGACGGGGCCTGCTGAACGGCTCCTGCCTGGGTGCAGTCGCCGGGAGCAGGTTCGTGGGCGAGGCCTACTGGGCGTGGTCCTCGGGAGCCGTGGCCTGACCCTGGACCTTAGGAGTTGCGACCCTGACTGCTGGGTTGGCCGCGACGTCCGACTAAACGGCGCTGCACACGGTAGCGCATCCGTGTGCCGTCAGCCGTTCCAGCCGTGCCACCTTTGCCCTCGCGCACATCGACGACCGCATCATGTCAGGACGACGGGGACCCAAACTGTGAGGCAGCGGTTTCTGTTTGCGAACCGAGAACTATACGCGCTGGACACTTGAGTAAGCGTAGCCGCGAGCTCTCCGCATAATAGAGGTCTGACTCTCGTGCAGGTGGCGTGATGCTTGGCGTGTGGGGTTGTATATATAGTTTTATTTTCACCTGCCATTTCCTCTCTAGTGTGCAATATAAAGCTTCTTTTGTTCGCATCAATTGTTGATGTTAATCCTTTTTCGTCCGCTATCGACAAGCATAGTGACGAACGTCCTTAACCATCACAATGGTATATATCAGTAACTCTGGCTTGCTGCACATTTATTTATTGTCAAAATTTATGCAGTTGGCATTTTTTAAACCATAGCATTAATTGAGTAATCAGAATAGAGGATCTTGACGAAATTCAATGAAGTACTTAAAGAGCATGACAGAGGGAGCCACTCCACTTTCCTGATTTCATTGTTCCCTCACTTTATAATGATTTGTTCTCGTCAGGCAGGGGGAATCGTTCATACACAAGCCTAATCTTTAAATCCAGCTCAACCTAATATTTTCTTCTAGTGGCCCTTATAAGTAGGCAAAGGCATGTTTATTCATTCGCAAGAGAAAGTTAACCCTGTTAGAGATCCTCGTAGCCAAAGCTTTGCAAATCAGTGTCTTAAAACATATCGGGACCCTTCATGAAACTTCTCGAGAGTACTCTTTAACATGAACTTCCGAGTTCTTTATCATCGCACACACTCTGGTAAATGTAAATTAAACTAAGTGTTCACCTCTGAGAAATTGCTGGCATAACGGTGTTACCCGTGTTTGTGTCATTTCATTTCCTCACCCAAAGGCGAAGCAAGAAAATGCCAAGGTCAGCACGAGTCCACGAAAGCTCTACGTTGCCCGACACGCAGAGCGTGTGGATTTCACATTTGGAGCCTGGCTACCAATATGCTTTGATGCAGCTGGTAAGAGCCATTTCGCTTGGAGGCATATTTAGTGCCGACAAGATGTGCGTTTTTTTATTACCAGTCGTCAGCATTAAGACCTTTTGTTTCATTCTGGTGGTTCGTTAGTTTTGTTAAAGTGCCTAGTTACATGACCTTATTTTACATCTGACTAAACTTTCTAGAGATCAGAGAACTGACAACGTATTTTGAAATAGGTTGTGGTCCCGAATGCAATGATTTGGCATTGCTTATTTATCCACCTAGGGGGTCTAGTAGTTACCGGGCTTGACTGCTGATCCTAAGGTTGTGGGACCGACTCCTAGCTGTCGCGGCTGCATTTGAATGGAGGCTAAGCGCTAGAGGACCCTTTACTTAAATTTCGATGGACGTTTTGTGGAGCCTTCAACTACAGCGTCCTTCATAATCACATAGTGGTTTTGAGCCATAAAGTCCCAACAGTTATATTACTAATGATATTGCTTGTTTTATTGGTTACCTTATTGATTGATTGAATGATTTATTGATTGATTTAATGTGCTGCATGCTTTGTGTTATGTGCCGTTACTAAAAAATGTCCGACTGTGAGCTCGTCTTGATGAGCAGGATAAGTCATACCCCCTTTGCACATCTTGCTCTCAGGGAACTACACTCGGCGGGACCTGAACATGCCAGCAGTGGTACCAGAGAGGAAAGGAGGCTACATGGACTATGCAAAGGACTCCCCTCTGACGAACATTGGCCTGTATCAGGCCACACTGACAGGTTTAGAAATATATACTTACACCTGTCTCTCTCTGCAACACTCTCAGGATAACTGTTACACAAGACCAGCACACACTAAAGCAATAAGAAGCGCAATGAAAGGATGAACTTGCATTCAGAAAATGTGCACTGTATGTACGCAGCTATGTACGGGGGGGGGGGGGGGTCAGAAGTTCCCAAGCCACTATCCCACATATTTCTATGGAAGCGTGGCCTGGGAGCGTTTGACCAGGACTCTAGAATAGTAGGCCAATGATGAGTGTAGCTTTAGATAAGACACTGAATCATTGTTTTCATCATCGCTGTTCGCAGAGGTACAAGGAACTATAGAAAAAAGCCCCGCCACAATAGTCTATTGGCTAAGGTACTCGGCTGCTGACTCGCAGGTCGCGAGATCGAATCCCAGCTGCGGTGGCTGCATTTTCGATGGAGGCTAAAATGCTGTAGGCCCGTGTGCTCAGATTTGGGTGCACGTTAGAGAACCCCAGCTGATCGAAATTTCTGGAGTCCTCCACTACGGCGTCTCTCATAATCATATGGTTGTTTTGGGATGTTAAACCACACATATCATATAAAAACTAGAAAAGAACGCAACACTGGTGCATTATGCTTGAATGGAATGCACCACTGTGCTAGTTCTTACTCCCTGGCTCTCCTTCTTGTGTTCCATGTGCCATGTGCACAGTTTTGTAATCCAATGCAGTACATCAGAAGCAAAAGACCAGATTAAAATAACGATCTAATATGTTGCAGAGGTCTTGAAACACAGGTCTTAAATTGTACCTGTGTTTTGGGTTTGAATACTCTGAGTGTTTACCTTGATTGTTAGCATGTTATAAGATAACTAGTTCACACCTCTCATCGTTATACAGAATTTAAGAGGAAAACAATTTTTCTAAGACAGGTGTATTCCAACTGTGTTAAACATCAAACAGCTGATGTTTTCAGGTCTGACATATTTCTGTAATCGTGCAAAGTGTCGTCACTTGGAGCCTATATTCTGTAAACATTACTGAATTCTGATGGAGTAAAAGTTCTTCAAATTTTTATCAGCTTTGTGTTTTTTCCAATTGTGTATGTGAAATTTTAAGTCAGTAAAATGTTAAAGTCATTACAACAGTTCAATTTAGAACCCCTTCAAGCCTCAATACAGAATTTCACTGACTGAAATTATCATCTACACAATTGTAAAAAGCGCAAAGGTGATAGCAAATTTGAAGAATTGCACTGTCCTGTTTCTTGGGAAGCCCTTCATGTACAATTAGAAAATTGTACAGCAATTTAAAGAGTGTTTATCTTTTTTTTTCTGTTTTCAGGGAATGCTATGTGTGAAAGTGGCGTCACATTCAGTCATGTATTTTCATCTCCATCCCTGCGCTGCATACAGACGTGTACGAATATCCTGACAGGTACCTACCCTATTTTATTTTGGCAAACACATTGTCAGTGGGGACCGTCTTGTCACTTTCTCACACATTCTCACAGTTCCTAGCCGGGTTTTGTGTATATAGTAGTGGCATAATTGCTTTGAAGTGTAGTACTCTCAAAGTATTCTAAGTAAATTAAAGTGCTCAAATGATCACAGAAGGATCAAGTTGCCACATATTGCTGATTATAAGTCAACCTCCAACTTGCAACCTATTCTAGCTAAAAGAAGAAAAAAGTTGACTCCAAACACAGCCTCATGCTGCAGCCATTGCACACCAGTAAGTCTTTCAGAAGAGGGAGTGATGCAAAGAAACACTAATTTGACCGTGAGAAATCGCTTACGACTCTACGTCGCTTCAAGAAAGGATGCAGCTATCACGGTTGTTGCCATCGTGTGAACCACTGCTGCTGCTTGCCGTCGGAAGGGGTGCTGGTGGTACTTAGATGCCGCACGTGAAAAATGCCGCATGGACCATGCCGGTTGGCAGTTCATACCAGGCATCAATAATCCATCGCGACACTTCACTGAAAGAGGTCGGTTTGAACTCTGTTAGCGGGATGCACATATCTTTCGCGACAGCACGTGGTGTTGTTTCAATATCATCGTAGCGAACACTCAGGCTATTGCTTCTCTGGTCGTGAACTCAATCTGGAACCACCTCCTACGTGGCAGGGCAGATTTCGGTTCGCGAAAAGAATGGCGTGTCGCAGCGCACCCAAAGATCTTGGTCCTTTAATTTCTCGATTCCCACACGCACTTTTCCGGCACATCAAACTTCTGCCCTGCTTCAACATTGCTTCCCAACTCTGCGTACAGAATCACTTACAGCTTAAAAGCAGCGCTGTACTGTTGCCTGTGTAGGGGTGCCATCTTGGCATCTGTTGAGCAGCTTCACGAATCGCGCACACCATTAGTATTTGCAAGCGAGGCGACATACATAAGTGGCAAACAGGCATGAGCGCAAAAAGACGTGAAGACGCTTGTCGATGCATGCATGGGGCACCTGGTTTCTCCTGCAATATGTGGCCACCGCATCAGTTAGACGGTGCAGCGAAGGCTGGACGAACCAGGAGCAGTGTACAAAGTGATAAGGTTTTACTATATGTTTTTATTTCACTCGTTGTGTTGTTGGGGATGTAGGGATAACCGATATAAGAACTATTATTTTGTGGTTGTTTAGTGCATCTTTCATAACCTGCGAGTACCGTGCGCCACAGGCAACGCTGCAGTGACATTGACCAAGTGGTGAATGGGGTAGGCGGCAGTTTTAACCCGCAGTAGGGTGTTTGGGCGCGCCTGTTTAGTTATATGAACGGTGTTAGACTGAACTTGTTAAACGAACACACGAACGTGTATTCTGTTTGATGGTTGGGCGGGTGATGGCTAAGTGGCCTAGGAAAACCACGGGTGAGAGTGATCTCGTGCAGTGCGGGAAATGCACGCGCTGATGCTACTTAGACGAGGCAGCCTTCACAAGTCTAGCTGATGCTGAGGAGGCAAGGTTCATGTGCCAGCTATGCGAGGAAATTAAGGCGATCGTGCAGCACATCGAAGCTAGCATTAAGAAGCTGAAGGTAGAACGTGAGCAGATGATCGAGCTGCAAGCACAGCTCAGAAAACACGTGATTGTGGTGAGGCTACCACCAGCCTATTAAAGCAAATGGCGGGTGATCTAAGGGGGGAACGTGCAAGACGGGCTGAGCTCGGAGAGCGAGGAAATGCGTTGATGGTGCTTAACCCCGTGCACTGTGAGGCAAAAGACATAGCACGGATTTCCAGGCAGACACAGGCAAGAAAGGAGACCCAGGGGTGGCAGTGGCACGGCAGTCTTTCGGCGGGGGGGGGGGGGGGGGGGGGGGGGGGCAAGGAGTAATGGCAGTGGTGGGCTCATTACAGCGTGTCGGGGACACTCGACGAATGGGAGATCGGTGGGCGCAAACAGGAGCACAGAAACTGCCAGCCGTAAGCGAAAGACTAGACCGTAGTAGGGTCCTTATGTTGGGGGACTCCAATGTAGCTGGAGTTGAGCAGAGCGTTCTCACAACAGTAAAGGCAGACAGGAGGGTAAAAGTGGAGACCAGTCAGGAAAGTGCATGATGGATGCACTGGTCAAAGCACAGGCAGTGGTAGGGGACAGTGGAGGGTGAAAACCTCGTCATCACTCATGCTAGGCTCAGCAATGTCCTGAAGGGACAGAGCCAGAACCCTCAGAGACAGTTAAGAGGATGGAATGCATAGGCTTCGAGAAGCTTTCTGACAGTGTGCATGTGATCATATGCACCATCCCAAAAGTCTGGGGAAAATCTGGTGGGATGGAAAGAAGGTTGATGGAGGCTGTGTCATCAGAGGCGTGAGCCGGCAGCTCGGCTACAGTGTAATGAAGATAAACAGAGATGTGTTTGAGCCCGGCTTCTGCTCTTCTTGCAGAAGATGCCATTCACTACAGGCAAGCAGCCCATAAATAAGGCCATGGCCTCTGTGTAGAGGGTCTTTTTTTTTTTTTTAAAGAGATGCTACTCGAAGACACTCTTTTTTAATATTCACCCTAGAGCAATGAAACTTGAGCTGTTTGTGGAACTTTTTATGCTGATGTCAAATATATAATTAGTTCTCTTGCAAGTTGCACACTTTTAGCTCTGCAACATGACGAAGTGAAAACCCTAACCCTTTTGCCCCCTCTTTTCATCCCTAAACTTCTCTAATTTTTTACCATTCATAGTTCATAATATTTCAAATAAAGTGCAGAATGCAAACAACTACTTAGGAAGCACATACAAAATATGTAATACGCGTGAAAAATAATAGACGTAAAAAGTCCATATTTCACCTACCATAGTAAAAGTTTACGTACAATTTATTTATTATACAATAAAATAGTGAAATTTAAACCATATAATTGCATTTGTCATACTTCGGAAAAAATTTGGGCAAAATTTTATGCAGATCCGAGCTCTCGAAGTGCCCGAAAAAGGAGGGGCACATAGGAAAAAATGGCAAATTATGTGTTTTGAGAAAAACGAGTTTTAAAGTTAATATTGAGTTTTTATTTATGAAAGATATCATTGAATTTGATGAAATTTCCACACCAAAAAGAACAATCCTTTTTGTAGTGGCCACTGCGACAAAAGTACGCTAGCACCACGAGTTTGTCCCTCTCGGTTTTTTCCGAGCGACTCCTCACAGACATTTCGCTCACAGACAGGGCTATGAAACACTTGCCAAACTTCTGCTCCATCTGGCAGAGCCTTGCGCCAACTGCAAGCTATGAAGAAGTTCGACAGGACTCCGAAATCCCAACTAAGTCCAGTGTCATGCCATTTTACAGCCATGCTTGTGCCACATATTGTCGTACATAGTGGCAATGTCATACCTGCTAAGTTCTCTCACTGCGAGCTCTTTCGACCTCGCAAGATTGGCGCTGACGTCATGTATCTTTCTGGCTGACGGGTGTGAATGACTTTTGATGCATTGGCTTTTGCAAGCCAACAACTGCCGCAACTCGGACCAGATGCTCGTAGTCTATTCTACAGAGCTCGCCGCACAACGGCTTTCACTTGCGAGCAATGGCTTTTTTCATTCATAACGGAGATAATTACATGAGAAAAGCATTGTTCAGCTGCGCTGCTCAACAAAACATGGACCCCGCAAATAGGTTTCACAGCACATACGGGCGCGCCGCGGCCAATGGCGGTCCCCGATCTGTACCACGTGATAAGCCAGTCGCGGCGCACGAAAAATGCGCAGAAGTGTGCTTCTTTTTATTATTTTTTGTGCCGCATAAGCGAGAGAAACTGTTATTATTTGAAGAGTGAGGCTCGACTCTTCGACTCATGTGATCAACAATGGCGAGTGGGGGCGCATTATTGGCGGCAAGGTGCTCGAAGACTGCACACTTTGGGCCTTTTAACAGGCACCTTGTGCTCTTTAGATGCAATTTTAAAGCATTTCCAGTTAAGTCTCTACCTGTATCTCTTTTTTTTCATAACAGTAGAGGTACTAATCTTATCAAAACAGGCGAAAATAAAAAATCGGTAATTTTGAAAAAAACTCACGTTTTTCGACCCGCATCTCCCCTTAAATATGGGTACAATAGTTATATGACAGCACTGAATATTTATGGTTGATTATGATTAACTGTCATTCCATAGTATTATAATGGCTGTAGTGTTGCAATGCTAAGCAGAAGGGTGTGAGATCACTTCTCGCCGTGGTGGTTACATTTCATATAAAAGCAATATGCAATGCCTTGTACTTGAGTTTAAGTACACAGGAGGCACTTAAGTGAAACAAATTATATAGGCCAATAAGTTATGCTGTGAAAACTCTAGCACTGTTAGTTTCCCCACCATAGCTTTATTAATAGATAAGAGTATCAGTTGCAAAAGATTTCCTTTGAAAATTTTTTGCTGGGATTTTCAACGGTGGTGTCACACATTTCAAAGTGTTTTTTCGAACTTTGGTAAAACTTGGTAGGTCAAGTCTCTGGCTCCCTGAGAAAGCAATGTGCTTCATTTCTACGAACCAAGAACTGCGTGTGTGCCAGTAGGTGCCGTCAAAATCTATGACACCTCTGTGACTAATGTGAAAGCTTCAAGGTGGTGTCGCCACCCCAATTTTCTTTTTGCATGTTTTCTTGCTTACCAAGCATCTTCTCACAGCAAGCTTGGTAATTTTTGGCAGAATTTTGGCTTTGTGAAAGAGTAATTTACTAAAATAAGAAAGACCATTTATTCCTTAGTGCCCATTGAAGAAATGCCAGGTAGTTGAAATTAATGTTTTGTTTTTATAATATTTGTGTTGAGGGCCGCTTTTAACTCTGCTTTGTAACAAGCCTCATGATGAGCCATCATCATGCAGAATGACAACTGATGTCTTTGTCTTGTGTGCAGCGTTGCACTTTGACGACATGCTCATCAACGTGGAGCCCGGTTTGTTTGAGTGGCTCGCCTGGTACCCTGAAGGCACGCCAGCGTGGATGACACCTGCCGAGCTGAAAGAGCACGGCTTCCACATCAACCTCGACTACAAACCACTTATTGAAACCGAGGAACTGAAGCACAAGAAAGAGTCCGTTGACCAGTACTACGTCCGGAGCTTTTATGTTGCTCAAAACGTCTTGAAGAGGACGGCACCTGAAGGTGCGAAGGGTTGTTTCACAGATAAGTGTGAATGTAGATGTGCAGGATAAGTGCAGGAGGGAAACAAGCGAAATTCTTCGTCTGGACATTGACCTTCTTTGAGCATCACTTAAACCAGTCTTTTGCTTCTCACTTCCTTTGCATCTCATTTTTTGCTATGATCACAGCTAAAATCTAATCTGCTTAGGTCTTCAACCATTTTTGGTGCTAAAAGTTACGTATAATGCTATCCATGATTACTTTACAAGTTTAATTGTTATCCTCCACATGATGGAGGTATAACTAGTAGCACACTCAGAATGCAAGTAGTTGCCAGACAGGATTTATATGTATATTTTTTGTTCATGGGATATCAGTATGCCTTTGTCATGTACCGCATCTACTTGCATAATGAACCCCCCCCCACTCATGTTGGTCCTTGGAAAAAGAAAATCTACTTTAATGTATCTGTTCATTCTATTTCAGTATGATAGTCAGTGCCATTAATGAGCAAAACAATGTTAAATCATGCCATTATATCACACGATTACAGTTAATAAAAGTCAAAACATAGTTTAACAACCATGTTAAGCAGTTGCCAGCAGTGCGAGCGCTAATGACGTTGATCAAAATTTAGAAGTTGCTGCCTTTTGCAGCAGAGCGTCATCTTTGATTGCAGAAGAAACCTTTTTGCTTATAGCGCCATGCAAGCACTGGGGCACGAAAAAAAAGCAATAAGCAAAGTGCAACCACGCCCACTGCGCCGACGGTGCAATGTGCACCCGCCGCGTGCACGCTCCGCCACCCGACGCTGTATTTTTTTGTTGTCTGGATTGTCGTATTGAATTTCGTTTGTACACCTGCTGTGCACGGCATGATCGGCCAATTGACCATTTGCGGGAAAACCACTGCGCATGAGCAGTAACCGCACAGGTAGCGTTCCTGTACAGGCGTTTTGGTTTTGGTTGGAAAACATCAGCCTGGCGTTCCATCAATATGACCCGTAGTAACGGCGAACACTGCCGTTTTCACGCAAACACCGTACCTCACAGACGGTGCACAAGCCGTCCTCACTGAACCTATAGTTAATCGACAGACATTTCAAGGTTCAACTTCAAGTGTATAACATAATGTTCTTCTTAAAAGAGCAGGCGTAATGAGCCTGGCGAACCGTCGAGGTAGCGGAGTGCAGGTATCACCTCACTTGGTTATTTCTCAGGCTGAAACGCGAGAAATTCTTGTTTTACACCGTGTATACAAACGTCAACAGAATGTTTTTCTCCTTTACCTTCTTGTTTCAGTAACGGGCATGCGTTTTTGGTCCTAAAGCAACAAAACAAGCGTTTTGTTTTCCAACCAAAAGCGAAGCTTTCCTGTTTACACGACAGGGGGCGCTCACTTTTCCGCAAATGGTCAATTGGCTAGCGACACGGCCGGTTTTAAACTTCAAGGGGCCCTGCAACACTTCTTGAACATGGTCAAAAAATGCTGTCAATCGATAGTCAAGGCTCTCGATAACAAGCGAGTGAAATATTATAGCGCAGCTCGCGGCCTGTAATTTGCAGTTGATTCTTAACCTCAGCTAAAAATATTTTTTTCTTCTCTTGTGAGTTGACGCAGGGTACCTAAAGTCATTGCTTAAAAGCCGTTGTATTAGCCATTGGCTTATTTGAGCAAGGCGGGCTCATTCATTACAGGGATCGCCGCAGGAAGTCGTGACCTGTCCACACGTGCTTGCGCGATCGCTTGAAAGTCATGTTTTCGAAGAAAGAAAAAAAAAAAAGAGGAAGAAAAAAGCTCAAGGTCACGATGCACGCGGGTCGTTTTTCTTTCCCTGTGCCATCCCTCCCTCCTTAGTTTCCAGCACTCTCATTGGGACTATTATATTTTTGCGGCGGTGAATTTTTGCGGCAATGAGCTCCTTAGTGAATTCATTAAATGGCTGCTTGACAAAGTGTTGGAGGGCCTCTTTAAAGTGAGCATGTTCTGGAGCATGGGAACTGAGCAGCTGGATGACACTTCGGCGTCGATCTGTGCGCTTTCATTGCGGGAGAAAATAAGAAGAGCTTCAGGCTACAGAAAAACTTCGTCGCCCATTTCGCAGGCCAAAACAAGGAAAGTTTCGTTTTGTGGTGAGCAAAGTTCTTTTTAAGAGAGGCTGCATAGTCCTGCCACTGAATTGAAGGCGAGCAGCAGTTGGACAGCGGGTTTCTTAGTCCCGTCATACGAAATTTTTGCTGTTATAGCTGCTGCGACTTTTTTCTCCCACATAATGAACCTTTCCCCAAATTAATATCAACTTGTATGAAAAAATATGGGTTCATTACTCGAGTATATACAATATGTGCCTGCAAAACGTTATGTATGTGCCAAGCCCATTTATTTATAACCTTCATATACCTACTCGAAACCCTCACCGTAATCCCACCAATGAGTGTTGTCAATAGATACCTTACTGTTTTACATGGTTTTTGAGTGCGTCACGGTTGCCTTACCAGTTTCACACGATAAATTTAAGACACGAAAATCATACTGCCAGTAGGGTAACCGAAGGTTGTTATGTTTAGATTTTTCATACTTTTAAGCGATTCAAATGGATACAAGTACGTAGCTCGTCAAGTGCTCAAGAGAGAGAGTTTTGTGTGGATATTTGTGGCTGTTTTGTGTGGCTGTTTAATGCTTAAGCGTTTTAATATGACTAGCTTCCATAAAAAATCCGTCTGTCACAGAAAACAAAGGCTGTTCACACAGGTGTCCCAGTTCGGAGCTAACACGGGTTTTAAAAACAAAGAAAGTTGCCGAACAACACATCACAAAACAAAGGATTAATAATATAATCAATAATAGAATACAAAACATGAAAATGTAAAGTAAGAAATTCAGCAAAAGTGACAGTGTTGAAATGTTGAATACAACACTGCCTCTTACAGCACTGTACTAAAACCTGTATACAAGTCTTCATACAGTATTTTTTTTTTCATAACTGCTTTACTACCAATATGCGCACATTCATAGTGTTAACAATAGTGTACAGTATTGATGAATGAAAGCACAGGCAAGTTAGGGCTAGGTAGTGCACACACTCTTATAGTCTTCATGTCAGGCCATATCAGGGTCATTTCAACTTGAACTTGTAGTACAGATCAGATTCGTCGTGATGCCACGTGGTTATCGCAACCAGTCGCTCATACTGGTCGTTATGCTTAAAAATTTCATGTCGCATTTCATTGCGCGAGCATGATAGATCGTGCATGCTTCAATGGCAAACTGCATAAGGCATGCAAACATTTTGTTGGTGCTGTTTTGACAATGTGCTGCTACAGGTGGGAACGTGCTGCTTGTTGGCCACGCGGCGACCCTGGAGACGTGCACTCGCCAGCTGACGGGCCGTAAGCCTCGGACGGCCACGGAGCTCGTACAGCTGGTGCACAAGATTCCGTACTGCGGCCTTTGCGTGGCCCAGGAAGCTCCGAGCTGCGGACCCCAGACCGCCGCTGAGGGTACGGCCGGGGGCACCGGGTGGGCACTGGTGGCGCCACCTATCCCTCCTCTAACCCACAGTGCCAATACCCGTTTCGATTGGCGCTGTATGCTTTCGACATGATTGTACAAGGCTGACCGGTATAGTAGTGTCAAAGGAAGATGTCAGCCTCGTAGGCAGATTCATTCACCCGGTGTGCGGTGGGGGAGTGCCACTGACACAAAGCGTTCAGGGCCGGTTTGCAAACGGCAAGATGCAGTGGCTGCACATTTTGCCATTTGATGCCATTTGTGAATCGTCATCACACCAGTTTACTAATATCTAAATCACTGAAAGGGGCTGACGTTAACAAGTCAGTGTTTTTGACACAGCAGCGCACATAAACCGAAGCTGGTATTGAACCCCACTGGTCAGTCTGGAGTCACTACGTTCTTACGTTCAGATTCAACATATCAGCATCTGCCGGAAAAGGTACAATTACCATGGCAAAAAAAAAGCTAATATGTGGGAACACACATGCAGCTTTGACAATACCCTTCCCCTGTCTTTCTCGTCTTCATAATTACATTGTGCTGCTATAACAGAGTTAACGTAACATAATGCCAACAATCTAGAGTCACACATGCTGCCATAGGAAAATGGGATAATAAAATGCATCGCACTGTGTCCCAGCTGATGTTTTTACATGCACTCAGTCAACTGTGGGAATTTCCCGAGGTTATTGTCTTTATGTTTGCCAAATCACCATTCTAGGTAAACGACCCAGTATGATCTTTTCTCTTAGGCTTTTTTTAGATATGAAATGATATGTCACTAAAATAGTGCACCCTAAGATGCCAGCCAGGTATTGCACATTAATGTACAAATTTATTTCATGGTGACACTTCACCTGCAGGGTTAAATATGGACAAGGTAATCCTCCGCTTAGCTAAAAACAATGAGGTCTACCCTTGAAGCTCTTTTTAGTGCATAGAAGATTGTGCAAAAGAAAGCACCATGGAGCTGCTGTCAGTGTTTTCTTCTTTCCACACTTCTACCGTTTGAAGCGTGGAGCTGAGGCATTCAAAGCCACTAGTTGCCCCAGATCTGAAAAGGATTACATGCTGTGGAATACACGTAAATTCTAGGTTAATTTGGCCACAAACTGCTCATTGTTTCTTAATACCTTTGGCTGGCTGTCGGTATCATGATCTCTGCTTACAGTTAGTAGGAGGTTCAGGTTTCATCCTAATATCAGCGCCACAAAGACAGCCTTAAACACAGGAAAGCCAAAAGCGCCACTCAATCTGAAGGAAATAAGAAAACGGCACATTTGCGCAAGTTCTCTTTTAGTTAGACAGTCAACATGTGTAACTGCATTACTAGGTTGTCGCCGACCAAAATATAGCGGGAGCCTTCTTTGTACGAGCCAGTGCAAGGACAGTTTACGCTGTTAAACAATGCTTGTGGGCGCAAACTAAAACATACAAAAGAGCGACAACACACACGTGAAGCGTCGGCTGCGAAGCGATTTGAAGAGTAAGACGTAGGTGTTGCACTTGCACACAAGCAACACCAGATGCATTTGTTGTGACACCACCAGATACCACTCAATCTTCCTATGACAAGTTGATCTACGAGCAGTTGTAGAGATTGAAGTGTTGCGTACACACGTTGTACTTTATTTTTGATGAAAGCATTTAGTTTGGAGGTTTAGCGTGCTGCACCACGAAGCAATACAAGATGGGTTAGCTTCCCAGCTACAGCAGCTGCATTTTGGTGGCGAAAATGCAGAAACACCTGCAGACTTTATTTTAGCGAACGTTGGGCAAGCCCAGTGTGAAGCAGTTAATCTGGTGTCCCCCACTGCAGTGTGCTTCATAATCATATCATACCTCTGGTACGTAGTAACTCTGGGACTCAAATTGTGTAAACTTTTGCTCAGCCATGGCTGCGTAAGGAACATGCTGCAGACTGACCAGTGAAATGCACAGCACCAACACTGCAGGTGCGCTTGGTCATTTAAGGTTTAACACAAGCACATTTTAAGGGCACGGAGTGGAAACAACCACTGCTGAGCAGGGCTCCGGGAACAGCTTGTGTATGTCGATGTTGTTGCGCCGATTTTCAGCTGCCTCTGTCTGCTTGCAAGCGTCGACTAATTTGGCAATGGCTCTAACGCTCGGTGTCTACACATGTGATAAGTGTGTTAGGTGACTATATAGTTCGGTAGAACTTTAAAAGTCCGCAGCATTTGTTCCTCAAATGCGGATGCACACAAGCCTGCACTTATGAGCGCACACTCCAAACTGTTGTCATGAGCTAGACAGAGAGCATTGCCAAATTTAAGAGAGGGACGATTTGTTCAGTTGTGGAGACGATCGACTGTCATGCTTCGGTCATTTGAATGGGGCCACTTCGGACTTCTTCAGTTCTGTCCGACTATAATGGAACCTTAGTTTGCTCTTTGCTCCGAGTGCAAAGCTGCTTCAAAACACGAAGCTCTTTACATACATTTGTTTTCTGAAGGTTGCATGCTTGTAACTGTGAGTTTTTGTACTTTTGCTGAAACAGCGTAGGGTACTGAAATTCTTGTTTCTGTGTCACCTGCATGGTCTTGTACACATGCTCTCGTTAAAAATTATTTCTGTGGGTCTTTTAAGTATGGTAAATTTGGAGTTCTTGGCACTTAATTTTTTTTTGCTTTGTAGAAAAGTCCTACACCTCGATATCCTAAAAAAAGGAGTTCAAATGTTTACAATTATCTTTTCTACAAACTAGCTTTGGTTTTGTTTTCCAGAAAGCATATGTGCTTGCTGATGCAGAAGTTACATGAAAGTATTTAGTATAGACCTCCTCCTTGTAAGGCCTGTGACTTCACGAAAAGTGCAAAAACTTTGAAATGATGATTCACTAAATTTTGTGTTTATAGCATGGTCAAAAAGCTGGAACATTGTCTCGTGTACACTGGCTGTGTTCGTAGCGTCTTCGGATGTGTGACTGCATACTAGACTGCCCCTGGGTACACATTTGCAGGAGAACAAGTGCCAATAGTGTTCTTGCAATTGTAAAGATAGGTACTGCTTAAGGGTATCTTTTTATAAACAGATGTACAATGAACTGCAGAAATGATGAGCCTTACTAACAAACCTAAGGTTTCCTGTGCTCAAAAGATAATCGCGCTGTTTTCCCGTAGAAATGTAGGCATCGCGTGGAGATGATGCTGCCGCAGTGAGGGTTTGTAACTAGAGCGAGATTTTTTCCAGAGGTCTATGCTCTCTTGTACATTCAGAGTGAGAGTTGCGCGGCCATACGAACAGTTCAGTGCCGCCCGCTGTGATTGGGGAGTAGGTGACATGGCTCCACAAATTTTTCTTAGGCACGTGAGCTGTTGGTTAGAGCACCTGCACTTCAGTTGGTATTTTCGTCGCCTGCTTGTCTGCAGCCGATCCGCAGTTGTCTGCAGCCAATCTGTATCTGAAACTTGCTACAGAGGATGTCTGTTTTTGTCACGCATACAGCCAAATGCTTGTGGTGGATCGCACTGTGCAGTGGCACCAAGAGACAAGGAAACACCTTCATTAAGTTTTGTTGACTACCGAAGTTCAGATTTAAGCTCAACGGCTTTGTGGTGGAGGCCTGAAGGTCATCGTAAATGTTTCCTTTTTTTTTTATTTCGATAAAAAACCCTGTGAAATTTGGGCAGTAGTTATGGCTATCTGCTACTGTGCACATTGTCGTGAGGATGTGGTGTCTCCGTAGTCAAAAGGGCAAAGTTGCAAAAATGCTTCCTTCGGTGCATGCACTTATCATCAAATGTCAGATAGTCCATACTACTCTTAAGCTTTTATGACACCTCTTGCTCAAGTCTTGCAAACCAGTTGAGTAAAAAATGCCGAACGGGTGTTCCCTTTTTCATGTACATGCATAGTCGTACTACTGCAGGCCATGAAATCTGTGTGCGCTACGCGTTCCGAGTCTGGTTGCACAGGGGGCCACTGCAGTGTTTTGATGGCTATTGTGGATGCCAAAAGGTAGTCGCATGGTCTGACAGCTAACCCGATTAGGGTAGTTAGCGGCAGTGCAGAAATGTGTGTCAGCCCATGGTGACAAAAGCAACAAATAATGGTGTTCACATATTTCTACATGTTAGGGCAACTAAGGCGCTTCTTTGTTTGGTCAGGCCCAATTGCAAATTTTTCTACCAGAATTATCTAGCCTCTTCGATGCTGCTAGTGAGCAGCACAGGTTGAATGCAGACCTACCAAAGTTATTTTTTTAAGACACTGCACTTGGCCACGAGACTGTAGCTTTACCTAATTTTTTCAGCTTCATTTTTAGCTCAGATATGTGTTTCACAGAGAGTGAATTTATTGGAAATGTAATAATGCAGGTAGGGAATTATGTAGTAAAGTCAGTGTTTAATGTCATTGATAGAGAAGGAAAAATTTCATGGCATTAGTGTTGCCACCGTGACGAAATTGCAGCACTGGAAAATTGGTTTTTAATACTCCTAGCTGCACGGTCAGTTGTTTTGTCATGTCGGAGTGTGCACAAAATGAAAAACAGAAGAGAACGGAACGGACAACTGTGCTCAGCAGCTTCACAGTCTGTCTCTTTCTTTTGTGTGGTCTCTTTAATGCCAATTGAAGCACACTGAACCTAGCCTCAACATCGGTTTGCCTTGAGCGCAGAGACGGTTTTGTGTGTGTGCGTGTGTGCACGCGCACGGGCGCACTTGCTGCTTCTCAGAGCAGCACACAGCAATGTGCAGCTCTGAGAAGCTGCATGAAACAATTCATAAAAACACGGTTTTACTTAAAAGTGCTTTTTTTTTTCATTATTATTATTATTTTTATGTCAGCTGCTGAAGTTTCAAGGTAAACAGTTGTAGTTTGCCAACATGTGCGCTGCTGCTGCTGTTGTCATATATGTGACTTAGCTATATAATTAGCTTAGTATGCTTTTTTTATTTTCGTGCTAAGCAACACTAAGCTAGCTTATTACAAAGAAGTTTGAAAAAAAATTAACTCTTGATTATCAAATAGAGTACCGGGCATTTAATTATTAAGTGATTCAAAACATGCTTTAATTCACCTTTAATCACAGCGCCAACCCCGCAGCGTAGGGCTTGCTTGACTAGCTGGGGGGACAATTTCTCGCGGTAACATGCCATTGAGTGCTTTATGCACAATATGCAAGAATATAATAATAATCACTGCTCCCACGCTTCGATGCACTTTTTTTTTTGCTCAAGTGAATAAATTAACTGACACCATAAGCCTACATGTGCGCTATGATCCACTAAGCTAGGCTAAACTGACCCAGCAGGCACTTTCTTGGCTTGAAATGGAGGCTGTTTTGCTTGATTGTTAGCGCAACAGAACCTGCAGTCACATTCACCAACTGAGGAGAAGAAAGTGTGAGAGATCTTGTTCTGGCAATGCCGCAAGTGAGAATCCAGCTGTTATCATGCGTCAAGGTCATCGGAGAAACTTCTGCAAAGTATAAGTTCTTACACTTTGTTGCCGTATCAATTGTGGATACAGGGCAACGGAATTTCGCTTTGCTGTCTCTTTCAGCCGCCGCTCGACATAGCCGTGCGTTGAGCTCAGAGGTGGAAGCATCTGCGACATATTGAGGCTGTGTCGAAAATGGGCTGTTCTAACCCCGAACATTGTTTGCCTTCTGGCCGCACACCTTGCAGTTTTTTCTCCAGTGTACGAGTTTATATTAGAGCTGTCAATGTATGAGCATTGTTTCGTTTGCAGTGCGCTTTTTGTGACAAAACTGTGCCATCGGGGGAAAGTTTCCTTCGCTTCGTTTAGGGACCTCTCGCTATTTAACAGGGGTTTGGTGTTGTAACCTTGTTGTTTTCTTCTATGAGGATGTACCTTTATTGATTATTATGAATTGCTGTTGTCCCTTGTTTTCCCTTAATGTATTGCCCATCGTTAATTTATTTTTCGTGTAAATACACATCTTGTGCTGTGTGTGCCGAAGACCTTGTGTACAGACTGTAGAGCTGTAAAATGAAAAATTGTTTTCGGGCAGCGGGCAACTTACAAATCATGTATTTGAAATTCTATGTGTGCAACTCTAAAAAAGCAGGAGACCTTGCCATTAAATTATTTCTTGTTATCACGGCTTGTTTATTCTCATTCTGCACTGGTCAAGCGACGACATCTAGTGGCAGACTTGCATGTTGTAGGTTCGTCCTACAGTCAGTAGGTCTAACCAGCGTTCTGTACTCAAGGCACTACTAACTGCAGTGTTGTTTTGTGCAGAGCACGAAGAGGTGTTCATTTTTTGCAGAAATGCTAATTGAGCATTGTAAACATCTTGTATTGAACAGTTTTTCATGCTAATTACTGTACCTGTGCATCATTGAGAGCAAATGGAGCGATGGTATATATATATCGTACTTGACTCAAGTGATCACTTTGTATCAGTGTTCAAGAACACTGCCACGCTGTGCTGCTCTGCCTAGTCCCTGTGCAGCCTTCTAAAACTAGCCAGCTCGGGTGACCTTCTTTTAATTGTTTTTCTATGTAGCAGCAGTGCAGTGCAATTTGCTGCAAGATTAGTTTATTGCAAAATAACTTATTTAATTACTTACTGACAGTTCATACCAAGGCAGTTGTGAGTGGTTCTGGCATTTCTCACAATAATCATGTGGCACTGCGGAGTGCAGATCCTTATTTTCGTATTCATGCTTGCATTTGCATGCATTCATGTCACCTCAAGTCATACAAGTTCACTTAAAACTCAAGTAAGTATTATAATGTTTTTTCAATCTTTCAATAAATTGTTCCTTTGTAGTTATAAATCCATATTTAGCTTTTAAATTCTTGAGCAGCGAAACTGTAGGCAAGCAATATGCAGCAAGACAGCATGCTGAAAACCAGCATGTGGCTGCTACTTAGAATATGTGCAGTTACATATTTGAAGTGGCAAAAATACTCTAGTAAATCATTCACAATACTCACGTATACTGCTTTTAAAGCTTAGTGGCTAGATACTTTTTTTTTCTAATTGTGAGCATGTGCACACTGTGAACGAGAAGGCACGTTCGTTCTGTTTCGACTTCTGTCGCTCAAGGGCCATTGAAGTTTCAGTGGAGGGGGTGCTCCGTTGAGTCTATAGACTATTGACTCAATGGCCTTCAAAACTGCCCGTGTGGCAGCTTATGATTGACAGTTGAGTCAAAATAGACCATCTGTTCGACGGCCTTCCAAAGGCTCGTGTAACACTGAGTATAAAATTTGAAGGTTGCTCTCCTTGAGGAAAAGATATTGGCAATTCCAGCTACCAGTTGCGAGCTGGGAACCGAACTTCAAATCGGGGGAATATGTGATGCAGGAATTCTGCGCTTCACTGAAGCCCAATTCATTTGACAGCTTATATTTTTATGCAAAATCTAGTAGACCGGTGTATATAGTGACTGACATGTCGTTTTCTCAAGTTTGAGTTTGATATGTTCAATGAAATGACATACTATCAGAAAGCGGTATCTTGTTTCCAGAGCAAACCTACATAATGTCGGGCCGAACGAACTTCTGTACGTTGGGCCAGGCAGGCTCGCAGCCCTATGGCATAGGAGCTCGGGAAAGCTTTCAATTCAGTCAGCGGGCGCAGGCCGGGCTTGAAAATGCGGTCTATACACCGCTCTAGCTGTAAGGTGCTTGCATGAAAGTGCCTAGACATTTTCTCACTAAAATTATTCTTGCTGTTAACTCTGGGTTAAAGAAGGCCCACATTACTCCGTTACAAGACTTTGCGTAAGCATGGACTGAAATATATATACAGTTCAGTCTCAAATGGAATGCTTAAAAGATAATAAAAGAATCGTAATGGGAACAGTTTGTCTGCTTTACCAGAAATAAAGTGTTTCCTGTACGAGGCAACCAGCAGACATTTGTGCGTACAAGTGTATGATGTGTGCATACAGTTGACTGACTAGGTTTGGACAAGGCGTTACCCTTACAATAGCATACTTCATTTTTTTTAGTCTTGAGTGAAGTACAATTGTCTGCCGCCTTTGTCTCTCGTAGACTTACTGTACATGCTTACTGTACAGTGCTGCCAGTAGGTAACACAGCTGCACGTAGGTCTGGCTAGCAACCTCAGCTATGCGGCAAAGCCTCTCTCCATTTTTATATACAACATGCCTACTGTGTCGCTGATTGACACATTTGGCTATCGATAGCTAGTGTCGATCCTGTTCACTGCAGCAGTGGCAGTATGAAATAGAAAAAATTGGCCCGAATCTACATGTTACACTGTAAATGTCGTCGAAAGACCATAGTCTTGCGTCTGGAGAGAGTGAACAAGATGTTTATTTGATGTTCCGCGCAAGAAAATCGGTGAATGGTATTCTGCAGGTGCTGCGTTAGAGTGCCTCGAGCGTGTGGCGGAGGCGAACGAGTGCATCTGGGCACGTTAGAGACAAGTGCCATCTGGCAATTATCTTTGAAAACAAAGGCGTGCAGCCCGCGGAGAAAAATGTGTGCCAGTCTCAAAGGTGATCAGGTGTAGAACGCAAAGCGGCGGGCAGGTGCCACCACCGTGACGTCGTAGCAAAGCATTGGAAACACCTTTTAGAGCATCGCGTTGCACTGTCAGCACAGCGTGATTAAACGCTCCATTCCTTAGAGTTACTTGTATGTGCCTCTTCTAGTATAAAGGCAGACACAGAAAACATCAAAGTAGTTGTTGTGGCGCCTCAAATATGTGCAATAATTGCTTTTTAATTGACAATTGCAGAACTATGAACACTAAATATTGAGAAATATTGGTGGGTGCGGCGGATGGGGTTAGCCGTTTGATGCCGTTTGTGATATCGTTTGGGCGGACAAACAGACAAATGTACAGACAGACCAACATTTTTTCGTTGAAGGTCCCCAAGAAAGACTATCGTCTTTAAATTGGCCAGAGCATTAGCTCCTCTGCAATGCATGGTTGCCAGCAGCGCTTGGAAGACAGATGTGCTGCTTTGCTATTCAAAGGTAGCATATACAGTAACTCAGTCTGTTATCTTTATCTTTGAACAAGCCAGAGAAACACTGCTTGATCGTGCATAGAAAAATCTCTCAGGCCCATTTACTGTTAATTCAGTGCATCTCAATAAGCTTGAATGTAACTAGGATTTCAGAAAGTCGAAGCAAAGAGAAGTTATTTCAAATTAACTTGTGCACTGTGTACAGTGTGTGCCGATACAACAATTGTCTCAGCTATTCATTGTTCAGCCTGTGGACAGGTATGCCATATTCATGAATTAGTACAAGTCCCCTTAAATTTTGTTATAAATCTTATTTTAAATAATGGAAAAAGAATGTCTTTAAAGCCTTCATTTATTTTGCCATGCTTGTTATTTTTAATTCACATATTTTGATAAAACGTAGAGTTATTGTGCACATAGTATGCAGCTATATTTCTAGTATACATAGTATTTAAAATATCAAATTTCATGTGCTTTTTGGAAGCTACAGTCAGCCTTACCTGATGAGTCTGACAAAGCCAATCAGGTGTGTCGCAATAATCTGGAATGATAACTGTCCCCAAGAAAACAAGAACGGACATTCCAAACCCATTTCAACAGAAATTATGGTATGCTAAACATTCACTAGCAAGCCATTGTCATGCCGGGGTTTTGGTCACTAATGTTCATCATAGCATAGCTTTTGGTCAGACCGGTGTCTGTGGACGTTAGCCAAGGCAAAGAGAGACCACTTTTGCAGGGAAGCTCACCTCCTACAGTACAGTGAACAGGGCTAGTTTGTAATGGTTCACTATGTTACAGCACAAGAAGAACGAGGAAAAGCAGCCTGCTCGTGTTGAGACGCAGCGCTGTATCCTTTCAAGTGTGTGCCTTAAACTTTTTGCCCATTCTTGTCGTGCTCTAACACAATGATCACGGAGTTACGATAATGGGACTGTTCCGTTTTTTCAAACTCCTTCAGGAATGAACCAATCTCAAAAATTCTTTCAGTAGGATGCCTCCTAGATGGTACCTAAAAACTTCCAGTGCAGAACTGAAATTTTTTGTGGAGCTGGGTGAAGAGTTACTTAGGGATACCGGACGCCTCCGTGAGTGATATAACCATAAGTTCATGGAATACTGTTAATCAGTATTCCATGAACTTATGGAATACTGGTAAACAGTATTCCTGAACTTGTTCCTTTAGTGACAAAACTGGCCCCTTTATTGAGCCTTTGAAAAATGGAAAAGCTTCTGGTTTGGTGCCTGAAACCACGAAGGCGAGACGGTGTCTATGCACGCGATAGGTGCCAAAATTAATTTTTTTTCTTTTCCCATTTTAGGAATCCCTGAGTGAAGAAGTGCATGTGACATTGTAGACAATCATGAGCATTCTAAGCATACCTCTACTTTACAAGTTGTGTGACGACTTTTGCCACAGGCAGTGTAGTGTGTGAACATTTGTTTGAGGCCAGCAATCTATATAGCTGTCCAGCACACTGTAGTGCCTCATTCCACCAGTTTTAATCAGCTTCTAAAAGAATGGCACTCTTAGACCCGTAAACCATTAGTCATATGTAACAACTACTACTTCTAATCATTGCCTTCAAGTTTTAAAAAAAATGTTTCTTGGGCAGAAAATACTGCTAGATTCGCCCAGTCTGGTGCTCTTGTGAATACAGGCATAGCAGAATGTGCGTGCTGCTAGCCGCAAGTTTCAATATTATTTGTTGTTTGTCAACAGCACATTTATGTAATGCACTGAAGCATTATTCATAGAATCAACAAGGAATTCTAGGGGGTTATGTATGTTTTTAACAAGATCACAAAGGATAGATGGGTAAAACATCCATTTAGCATGCGTGATTATGCAGACTCATGCCTAGACCTAATGTTGCATGGAGCTACCACTTCACATGACGTTTCACCTAGCACTCACAGTAAATTCAAAATAATTTACTGCTGTAATGCTATTCGTCACGGCTACACCGAAAACTCTATTACTGTGAGATATGGTGCCGCCATTCCTCTGCAGAGTAATTGACGCATAGAGGGCGACAATGGTGTGCAATGCACACAGACTTAACATTTAAAGCGACACTAAAGGCAATGCCAAAGTTAAAGCTCAATCTATGACAACCTCTAAACAGAAATCTTATCACCAGCAGTGCCTTACTTACCAAGAAATTAAGCTAAAGGTATCGCATGACGTGTGCCACGAGTGGAACACTTTCAAAACGATCCTGATTACGTGAGAGTTTCCAACTACAATTATTCACTAGTAATAAAACTATGTAGCTTCAATAAAAAAAGAACCTTTTGTGCAACAAGAGGAGTAATAAAATGCTGCTTGCCCGTTTCTATATGATTTATAGAAAAAAAACTGCCTGGCATTACTATGGAGCATGGTGCGAGTGGTTCAAAAGTTTCGTTATCGACTGGTTGGGCAGGATATAACGAGGCACCATCTAATGGAGCCCAGTTGAACCAAGCAAGCAGCGCCATACCCTCCGACGATTGCAGAAAACTGTCCAATGGCCGTTGTTGCTACTGTGGCTCCCGCTACCTTCCCTCCTTCCCTCTGCTGCTACTGGTGTCGGCGGCTGCGCAGTAAAGGCGGGCAAGGTGTTCGGCATGGTAACAGTGACATCAACAGGACCACTTTCAGGCGGGTCATTTGAAGTGCTCCAACGTAATGCGGACCATTAAAATGTGATTTTATTTCAAAGTTAGCACTTCCTTGGCACAGAAGTAGCACTACCAGGTTTCTCAACTGCTATTTTAACAATCGACATAAGCTTAAAATTTGCCTTTAGTGTCCCTTTAAACTCTTGACAATAGAATACCTCAGTGAAAAATCCAAGCAAAGATCATCCATCAGCCTGGCTTTTATGTGAAATAGGCACTCTATTATTGTAATATTTTATGTGTAAAATAGCACAACTGGATTCTCAATTATTATCTCGAAATAAGTGCTCCTTCATATTGACTATAACAAGCAAACTTCAGTCTGCATATCACTGATGTGTTTTTGTAGGTTTGTAGAACAGACAGAGTCAAGCTAGTTTTGAGTAACAAAGCTCTCTTTATCAGGAAAAGCAGGAAGGCTGCAGATTTTTTTTTTCTTTTTTCAGGCAAGTCATCTCACATCGCAGAGGGATGCGCACTGTCAGTTTACATTCCATAACAACCACTTTCTCTTGCGTCTACGCACATAAATCATTAGTCACAGAACTTACGTCTGTGACCAACTCTCATAGTCATGAAGACGTAGACACAAACTTAGTGCTGGCAGTAAGCACCACAGTGGCACAAGCTTTCCACCACGCTTCTATGTTCCAGGCACGTACAATTCATGCAAAGCACATATATTTTTTAAAAGCTTGGCGCATAGCAAGTTTGGTACCACACATAGCAATCGAGTTTATCAGGAGCATGATGTTTGATCGACTATTTGGCTCGGCTGGGCCCGAACGTACCACTGTAGATTGGCACCTTTTGATTATCTATGGATACAATTCTCTACCAAACCGTTTACACATCAAGGATGCTCTCTACAGTAAAACAGTCAGCTGCAAAAGTCGTCTGCGGTGACACTTGTTGGATTGAAAGGTGCAAGGATAGGATGGACATCCAGGCACGTTTAGCTGCTCTGTTACCGTACATCTGGCTCATGCAGGCAATGGATGCACAGACGGTCACTGACAGCGTCATGCTTGAGATCTCATTATTGCCCGAAGGAACGCCAGGGGTCACCGTCAACAGTCAGGCGTCTGGAGGTCAGGTCATGGAATGCATCACCGGTAGTGAGTCAACCGAATAGACTTTAATAAACACAACAAGCGAGCGGCAATTATAACATCCTAAAGCTTTCCCTCCAAAAGGAAGAACTGAGGGGGTGAAAAAATTATCGAAAATGCGGAGGAGGGCAGGATAAAACTGCGGCTATTCGTAAACGACTACGTGACACTTAAAAAACTGGCCGCGCTGGGGCAAGGGGTCTCTTTTCAAATTGGCTTGTACAGTAGCGTGGTGACGTATTTCTTGCGGTACCTGTGCGTGGCACTGAGTACCATGACGCCGTCCTTGATGGACAAGGCGTACAGGTGGTTCAGCATGACGTGGTTGGGTTCGGGCAAGAGCGTCGGTTCGCAACGCAGCGGCGTGTCCTTGTTGAGGATGACCTGCAGAAGGTGCGGCGGCAGCACGGGCGGTCCGGTCGCTTTTTCGTACGGCTTGGCCTGCGGCAACTCCTGGCCGTAATCGCCGGGAGGCGATCCGGACACGCTCTGGGTGCCCGAGCCCACACTGTCCATGGCGAGCGCCTCGAACACTTCGAAGTCGGACTGTTTGACGTTGATGAGGTTGTTCTTGGTGCCCATGTCGTTGTCCACGGTCGGCTCGTTCTGGTCGTGAACCCACTGTCCGTCAACCATGAACTTGTACTGGTGGTCGCCCTCGGGCACGTCAAGGATCACCACGAAGTCGCCGTGGCTGTGGACCATCGGGATGGGCTTCCAGTTTGTGAACGTGCCGCTGATGCAGACGTCTTTGCCGCCGCCTTCCCACTTGAACACGGTGGGAAGCGTGGCCTTTGGCTGCTCGCCTCCGCCGCCTTCCATGGTCGAGGCTCGCGGTCGCATCTCGGAGTCGCCACCCTTCCTGAAACTCGGAATGTCGTCCGAGTCGTCCAGCGAGGCCTGGTAGATGAAGCGGCTCTTGCGCGACGAGCTGCCAGTGGTGAACTCGAAAGCGCGGTCATCTTTGCCCGGAGAAGACGGAGTGTCCGTGTCCGTCGAATAGGCGCGGTCACGCTTGCTGCCCGAACCGGTGTTGCCCATCGGTGGTCGCGAGAAGTTCCCGTCCCAATTTGTTTACGCGCTATGAACTAAATGGGAGAACAACATAACCAACTGGCCACTCGATAAACAAAATCAATCACAGCACGGCCATTTTACTTGCGCTTTTCAGCCTTTGGTGCGTTTACTCAGCTGTTGCCAGATGATCCGCGATGCTGGCACGCGGGGCTGCACGTAGGCAGCGTGGTTGTTTTGTTGTGAATATTTGAGAATAATAATGACACTTTCACGGAACACCTTGCACTTTCGAGAGGTCCTGCTACACAGAAAGCTACAAACCTCATAAAAGTATGCTGGCAAAATATCTTTGTGTTTCCGATTTGCAAAACATTTAAAAATTTTGTGGTTTGAGATGTAATCATTTCGTATCTATGTAAAGGAATCAGTAGAACTACGTTTTCACTTTGATTTTGCTTTCATGATTTAAGTGATACGGATTGATTTGTTAGTACTGAATTCTTTATGTACAGCCGCAAGCTCTAATGCTGCTTACTAAACTCAGCCGATATCGTGGGCGCTGCAAGCAACCACGACGCAATCGTTGTCGCGCTAGTTGCGCTTTCGGATATTGCAGTTTGTTTTCGCGTCGCGCTATGTAGTACCCAAGCGCGCGATGAAAAAGTAAGAAAAATACTGTTTTGCGACTCAGCGGAGATATTTTTCGCGCTGCTCTCATGTCGTGCCTTTGTTTGTTCTGCAGCGCAGCGAGGTAAGCGGAAAGCATCTAGCGAGAGTTCACTGTCGCTTCAAAACTCCAGATCGAAGTGCATCGAACTGATAATCATCGCTACGCCGGACTTCTCTAATTGTGTGATGCGCGCATGTGCGTAATCAGCAAGTTTAGGTTATCACACGCGCTGTACAGAAAATGCGGTGGCGTTTATGTATCTGTTGCCTCCCGAAGTGCGAGCGGTGTATTGTAGACGCGTCGAATATCGAAACCGCGCCAAGGCGGGGCTAAAATTGTTTCTTACTGTCCGTGGAGCTCATGTTGATTCGCGCTCGCATCGATGAAAGAGCCCGCATTCAGAACGTGAGCGTGCTCGCAACGGATCTTTAGATTGTCTTGTCCAAGGAGTGTGCGACAAACAGTGGGAGCCCTGCTGGCATAACATCTGCGCATGCATATGTCTCAACACTTGCGCGTTTCGGAGGTTTATTGGTTGTTATCTCTTGCTCCTTTGCCGTTTCGCGCGTTCGATTTTAACCTACGTCAGACACTCTCTCAAGCGCTTCGACTCAAACGCTGGTGCTTACGTCTTCCTTTTCTTTTTTTCTAAAAAAAAATAATAGCGCTATATTTACATTGTTGGACTTAAGAGTTGAAACATGCGTTTAAATAACTCTTTAGTGTCCGTAATGTATGCGCAGGCTTGCTCGAATCGAACGTGCGTGTTTACGGGAACGTGTCGGGGTGTTACGGCTTTCGAAGAATTCAGCAACGACCAATCGATACCTTATGTTCAATTGCCAGCTTATTCACGCGCTTGTACCATATTCCTCAAGTGACTACGGTGTTCAGGACAATTGCTTACGACTTAAAAGCATGCACCATTATTTTGTGTGTATTTCTTAATTCATGAAAGGTTTAGTCATGTATGCACTGTAATCTGTGTTGTGGTCTTTACTCAATCATTCGTACTATCCACATAATGGGAACATGTGCATACTCTGCGCAGCTGTGTCCTTAAAACATGTGCAGTTCAGATGTGCCATCTATTGTTTGCTCCATCTGCTGCCCTCGTTTAACAAATTCACTGTCTCGTATGGCATTTTCTTTCAGGTAAATGTTTATGCAAGTTCCAGAAGCCTGCCATGTCAACTCGTGCCGGCTCTAACTCAATAGATCTCTTTTGGAAGCATGGCTGCTGCTACAGGAGATAGCAGTCATGAAGGCACGTCACCTTTGCTTGCCACTAGTCAAGTGTCCTTTATCAACAACAAGCCACCTCAAGCTGCTGGCAGGATAGAAAACTCCTCAGAAGATGAAGATGGAATCCCTAAGGAGGCCTATCTCTTGGAGAGTGCCGAAGTTCACACTGGAACTAGCAGAGTTGATAAGGACAAAAAGGCCCCAGACAACGTGTCACACTCTTCACAGCCAGCGGAAAGAGACCATAAACGTTGGGAATGGAAGTCCCTTAAAGAGTGTAGGTCACAGCTCTTTGAATTTTCCACCACTGCCTATTATCATGTTTACATCTATCCTTGACACCCGATTGTACTAGAAAGAACCAATAGTTATCGTTGCCAGTCCACCTTCTAAATGTTTCCGTACAATAATTGTTGGGAACACAGTGCAAAGTAAGATAAAGACAAGGAAGAACGAAGCACACTTCCTTGTCCTGGTCTTCTTTTGCACTGTGTTCCCACCAATGTTTCTCCTACACATCCAAACTTTGACACTAAGCCATACAGTAGCTTTTTCTGTGGTTAGTCAGTTCTTGCCGAACGACATGTGTAGTGCAAAGCACAAAAAGAATGACTTAATACTAGTGTCACATTGTCACTTTTGATCTCCTTTATCCATCATGACAGGCTTCTCACACAAGCTGCAAAAGAAAGCTATTCACGGTACATAAATTCTATCCTGATGGGGCTTAACTGCGATCAGCAGGGCATCGCATTATACTACTATAAGAAGCATAAAGGAGGATTATGCTGCCCTTGGGACTGTTTTATCCGGCATGAAGCTTCATGCCCAATAAAACAGTTATGAGTGTACCATCATCTTTTGGCTTCTGAGTGCTTCCTGGCCTTTATTTCTGTGTTTTGTGCCGTGAGTATTTTCGCTGACGTGTTTTTGTATTTCCACTTTAGTTAATGGCTCTTGAACCTTCTAAGAAATATTGCAGTCTCATTCACTGAACTTAGAATGCTCTGTTGTGGTCTGGCCTCGTGTCGAGCAGCTATTTAGCTCAGTCTGGGAATGGTTCACTAAGGCGGTTCTTGAACTTGTTTATCATACAAAGAATCGATAGAAAGAATTGTATACGCAGCTAGGAAAGTGGGACGCTGCGCTTCTGGGGGCTAAAGCTGCATGTGATGGCTGGAGACAAAGCTCTGAGAGAGCTTCTTGTTAAGTATGTTGCTTGAAAGAGTTTATGTATAAATTCATTTAGCTAGGCCGCATGAAGTTGGGGTAAAGATGAGCCAATGTGAGCAGTATGGTCTGCCATTCAGGAAATATTGACATGACACTTTCGTCCTTAACATTGAAATTGTACAAAAGGGTGCCGGTTAGCCTCAGAGGACTCTAAAATAAATTACTGTATTTATTTATAGACAAGGTTAAGTTGAATTTGTTTTGTTTATGGGATGTGTGTATGTTATGATGTTAATTTAGCTCACATGTCGGAACACTATGCAATAACATGAGAATAATTTGCTCTCGTCTGACCTCCATTCATATTATGACGCATAGTGCAACTCTTGAAGTACGGAATCAAAGCTGCTTTATGAGAAGTTAGTTATGGCATTGTGAGGCTTACAACTACCTTTTATGATTTTGAGATTAGCAACTTACATTAAATGCAAAAAAATTGAATATTCAAAACATTGTATCACTACTTCTTTAAAAAAAGAAGCAGGTGAATATTCTGTCATCAGTTATCGTCAAGGTATCACATAAAAATTCACAGGCTAATTTCATTTTTGTAAGGGCTAGTTCATTGTCATGACTGCTTTTTTCTGATAAACAAACACAAATATATGTATTTCAGTGGGGTGTATTGACATTTTTGCTAGTAAAGTCCTATTTTAAACAGTAAACCATTTCTTAAATGTGACAGACTATGAGCATCAATTTTATCGAACATTAGTCAGAGTCATTCGTCAAAGTGATGCGTACGTTTCCTAAATCTGTCAAAAATATTTTGCAGTGAAATGAACGTAATGACCCGGTTAGTTAATTCTGGCAATCAGTTGCAGTTTCATCTAACCATCTCGTAGGCGTCCTATATTAACATAGCTTTGCCATTTGAAGTCCATGGAGTGCTTTGCAGGGCTTCTCTAGAAGTGCATCGTGACAATTTTGTCCTGTTCAAGAGACACTGAAAGGCATGTCACGATAGCGCAAGATTTACACCTATTTTTTTGTCTCAGTTATTAATTGGATAGTTATCCTCAAGGTAATTGTGCTACGAAGCTTTTCTTCCTATTGAGGATATCAAATAGTTATGGCACATTTTCATCCAATTTTCATCTAAATTTCAGATGTACACCAAGTGTAGCTAAGCTTGTTAAGGTTAGTGAGAGAATCCACATTATTGAAATTTTATGTCTTGATGGCTAAGGTGCTGCCCTGTTTTAGACACGAATGCCCTGCCATGGCAACTTAATTTCAACTTGGGATAGATACAGTGACACATATGTACTAGTTGTGTTTAAATACATGCAAAAGAGGCTTGGGGTGCGATCTTGTATGAATTTCCTAATAGAAAGTACATATGGATTTGTTGTATGCGATTGGTTGAGGCTCGGTCAATCATCAAAAATAGGAGATGCACAGCCGCCCAAATCTTGAACTATCGAGCGGCAGTTTTTCTGCGTATCTTCGCCATATAACGGAATCACGTTCCAAAAAAAAAGTAAGAACAAATGCATGCTCGCAATGCACATGCAAACAAAACAATTTTTTGCAACTTCGCTCCTTCATACGGCGGTAACATACAAAATTTTGTTGCGCTCAGTGTGGTCTACAGCCCGCAAGGACAGAGTTGAGTGTGCTGTCAGGTCATGTCACGGCATATTTTCGAGTCGGTGGGAGAGAGCTTGGTTCCTGCGAATGCGCATCACCCCTACTCGCTTGCTTTCATCCTTGATGTTATCACTTTAAAAGCTGTTATCACCACTGCACATTATGAGGGCGAGTGTGAAAGCAAGTAGGGGTGATGTGCGCTCCTAGGAACACCATATTCTCCCCGAGAACAAACACATGTCACGGCCAGCGCACCATGTGTAACTAAAAGGTGCGCTTGACGATGCACTCCTGCAATATAGCTCATACTGAGTGCGATAGTAGGTAAAATAACCCAACGGACATGTCCTTGTGTGTTTTCTATTGTGGAATGCATAGAAAATTGCACCTTTAGTGGGTAAAGCTTATCCGTACTCTCATAATATGGCATCTAAAAAACGGCAGCAAGGGGAAAATAGAAGCTTGCAATGAAAAAGAAATCTGTAAACAGGGATTGTGCACTCGAGCCGAGATTTCGACAGGTGGACATGTCTGTTTTAGCCTTGAAAAAACCAAGTCCACTTGTCGAAATGTCGGCTCGAGCAAAGAAGACCTGCTCACGAATATTTTCATCATAATATGGCATGCCTCATAATTGTATCGTGGTTATGACATGTTAAACCCAAGATCTTCTTTTTAGGGGCAAAGCTTTTATGGTTTAGGCTTGTCTATTGGCCTTGTGTGCCTGAACAAGTGCGTTCCAGACCACACATGTCTTTCTGCCATCAAGGCACAGCACATGCAAGGTACCCACTATGGCATCACGGTGACACTGATGATGATGAAGAACAAGCACTTTTCAGACCACACATTGTCTTTCTGCCATCAAGGCACAGCACATGCAAGCTACCCACTATGGCATCATGGTGACACTGATGATGAAGAACAAGCACATTCCAGACCACACATTGTCTTTCTGCCATCAAGGCACAGCACATGCAAGGTACCCAGTATGGCATCATGGTGACACTGATGATGAAGAACAAGCACATTCCAGACCACACATTCTCTTTCTGCCATCAAAGCACAGCACATGCAAGGTACCAACTATGTCATGGTGGTGACGCTGATGATGCTGAAGAACAACCGCTTTCCAAACCACACATGCTCTTTCTGCCATAGGGGCACAGTACATGCAAGGTACCCACTATGGCATGATGGTGATGCTGATGATGAGACGACGAACAACCGCTTTTCAGCATGCATTTGTATGCTGCATTTTGTATGACTGGAAACAACCAACAACTACCAGAGGAACGTGCACAAAACTCATCTGTGCCACCTGCAGGCTAGGTCTGATAGTACAAAACAGTAACGGTGAAGGCAAAACAAAATTCACAACTCAGCACAACATACCATTTATGACCAATAAACATTGTATATAACTGTACACCGCTTTTTCACTCATTTACATGCGTGAGTTGTCAATGTCACGGGTCATTTATGGCAAAACCGAATGATACCACTGCTTCGCCCACTCATCATCATTCACTTCTTGGATATGCCATGATTTTCTTATTTTTTTATCTTGATGTCATATTTTTGCAGTAACAGACACCACTGATGTGCACACACATACACACTGTGATCATACTGTCAAAAGCCTGACATCGGGCACTGAATGTTATAACATCAGGGAAGCTTTATCCTATGCTTCCGAGAAAATGTAATAATTTTAAAGACCAACTGGCAGCACTTAACAACATTTTATATAATGTCAAACAACTGAACATGGCTGAACTGTTTATGCTTTTAGTAATCCACATTGAGCTGCAAACTCTGTTATTAGCATTGGATCATTGCCTTCTTGTTTGAAGTAAGTCTGTGCTTGGCATATATCTCAAACTGATCTCATGAAGGTTTCCATAGTAATTATTTGTGGGGTGTTAGGAAAGTTGGCCTTCTGTGATAGTTATTTTCTTGAACTACATAAAAATAAAAAGTGGCATTCAACACCTTTGTGCCCTAACTCGTTAATGGAGCACAGCTTGACATTTGTTTTCCTTGTTTGAAGTGTTTTATGTTGTGATAAAACCACTTCACTTACCTGACTGCCATTGTCAAACAATACTGATAACATGTCTTCGTTTTATCATTGTAGTTTGTTTACATGTCAACATTAGGTTGGTATGTTGGAATGTATACTCCTTTGATATATCAGTCAACCTTGTTTTCTCTTTTCAGTGTCTACGCTGAGCTGTGAGCAACTTCAACAACTTAGTACGCAACTTTCTCAGCTTATCAAGCGTAAGTGTTCTTGTCATGCTCTCAAAATATTGAATGCTTTTAACATCTTGCATTTGTGTGTTTCTACAGAAGTGCTTTTTAGCTCAGAAGCTTCTAAATATGTGGCATGAATGGATGAAAAACTTCATTAGGGTCCTGAAAGATTCCATCCCCATTTTATAGGGGCAGAATCGCGGGCCTGCTCCTACGTAGAGACGGGGAGGCCTTGCCTCACCGCCGCATCGTGGGCCTTCTGGACAGTTTTGAGTTGTTGTATGAGGACCTGGCTCTTGAGCATGACATGAAAGGCATTTTCGTAGAATTCTTGATATTTTCCTTGCAAAGAAAGGCACCTCCAGAGCATGTGGCTAATGAATAAATAATTTTTCTCACCAACTACGCATTGCATCGAACTACTGCTTGACGCATGCATGTATCGCTTTTCTTTCATACCTAGTACACGATACCTTTATTTTAAACATAAGCAAAGACCTCTGTACCATTCATTCTTTCATTCACTGTTTCATTCACTCGATCAGTTTATTGTTTTATTTGTTATTCACAACAGTTACTATGTGGCTTCCTTCGTTATTGCTATAATGAAAGAGGCCAAGGACAGCTAACAGCTTGCTTAACAGCTAACTATTTCTGCATGATATAGGCTTGCTTGCCATATAAGAAATAGGGTATAGATAAATAAAGACCTAATCTTGGGTCTTCTTACTTCGTACATGAAATAGTAAAGTGAGGCAGTATATTTTTACTTCATTTCAGAACGATCCACTGATCTGGCGCCATTGCTCGAGGAACACCACAATTTACAAGAGGAAATCGATGCACGCAATGTTGTCATACAACAGCTTTTGAAACTCACCTGTCAGCAGATGGAGCTGCCGCGTCGGCCCATTCAAATGTCGGTTATATTTCCCGAAAGCAATTCCGATGAGGAGGAGTCTGACGCTGCCTTGTACAATTGATCTCGCTGGGATGCCTGCAGTGTGGGGAGCCTCACGAGTCCCCCACTGCGGGTGTGCACTTTTTGTTTTGTTTTCGCACACTGTATTGTTGCGCCACGCGTGATTCGTTTTTCAGAACACTCTTAAAGTCTTTTTTATTTTTTACTTGCACTTGTTGAATGCTAGCTGCACGGGTATTTGCAATGTATTTTCTGATAAAGTGCCATGCACAGTATTTGTTCATGAAGCTGTTCCTGTTGCAGCAGTTTCTACATTGTACAGTTTGGCATTGGACAGTCACCTACCATGGGATCCAAGAAAAGGCAGAATATTTACACAGCTTCATTGCACTGTTTTGTATTCTAGTTTTAATTCTACATTGCTACATGAAAACAGGGGCAGCTGCCAAAGCAATCTGCCCGAAAATCATACGTTTTCACAGCCCCCACGGTTTGTAAATGTCCGATGTCGGCTGCACGTATACGTTGCCATGTGTGTTCAGTCAACCTAATAGCGGTGCCTGCTTGCGCTTGCAAGTATTAGGAGGCATAAGCTGTGCCAGGAAAAGATACTCACTGCTTTTGCGTGGTGTTCAGGACACGTAGCCAAAGAATTAGGACCAAGCTACAGCTGTTTCCACATGAGAAGCAGAGCTTGTCATCATAATTTTGTACAAAATCTGCTAATCAAACTCTGTTCAATCATTAGGGCATTTTATTGCTCTTATATAGAGCTTTTTTTTTAGCTATCTCATTGAAATCACCACCAGGTGATGCACAAATGTACTGCAAAGATGGAGCGTGAAAGAATAAATGTTTTTGCTTCTCTCGGTTGTGCTTGTTCTGTCAAGAAAAGGCGTTGTTCTCCGACGGGTATGTTAGAAGGAAATTCCATGTTCTGTTATTTCAGAGTGGGTTGTCTATCCAACATCAAATTGGGTTGTGTGTGTGTGTGTGTGCACGTGTGTGTGTCAGTTGGATATAATCATGCGAAGCTTGTTTTAATTGACCTCTGTAGTTAATGATGTTACAAAGAGACACTCCTCACCCACACTGGTGGGTGCACACAAGGGAAAAAGAAAAAGATAAATTTTGTTTCAGGATTTCAATTGAGCTCCAGCCAGCAATCCAAAAGTGATCGAGTGCCTTAAAAACTAGTCCACAGGCCTATGCATGCCCGATCTGAACTAACTGAAGTGTACAAGTGTGTTCTACAGATGATTTGGTTGGTAACAACTGTGCAAAAAAAAAGCAGTACACTTGCTGCAAGCCTTTGTTACTATATTTCTTGTTGGAGGACTAAATCAATTTGAATCAAAAAAAAATAAAAGGAGTCCATCAAGGACGCGAGCTTCCCTTATTACCCTGACCATTTCTCTGATTGGGGCAGGTCTCCTGGATTTTATGCTTTGTCTTTGTTGAGACCTCAACAGGAGTGTACTCCACACTCTGTGGATTATAGAATTTCACTAAATATAGTTGTTTCTCTCTATCTGTATTTGTTAATGTATTTTTATTCAATCTCTAATAATGCTTGTTCATTGTATCTCCTTTATTTGTTAAATTTATTATTTATTTTGTTAACAGTACAATTAGCGCAGCTATAGCTGCATTAACCTGTGTTTGCAGGATTTGAAGAATAAGTCGGTTTCGTGTAGCGTATGAGGAGCCTTAATTAGCTTATGTTTTTTTTTTTTATCGTAACTTCACCACCACTTTAACACACTGATGTGTGTGCGCGCAAACATGAACGCGTGGGACGGCTGCGTGAAGCGGGCTTCTTCTCACTATTGTAGTTAATGTGGTGAAGCCAGATAACAATAAGTAATTGTCAGGCTGTGGCGCAGCCTGTGAGTAGCACACAAAACCCTTGCCCTCCCCCCCCCCCCCCCCCCCCCATGGCATACATAGCGCGAATACGACACGACCACATATGCCTGACCGGCCTCAATTCTGATCAAGGTGCCCGCATCTCCCCCCCCCCTTCCGCCCCAACAAAAAAAATTCTGCCTAGGGGCCCGATCTCCCTGCTGCTTGATTACGCGCAGAAAGCCGCGTTTAACGAACGGCGTACGCCCACGTTTTGGACGCATCACGGTATCCCCATCCGCTGGAGACGACAATTGAAAACGCTACCTGAAAATATTTGATGCAGCAGATTCGCGACTTTGTGCCCAGAGTTTTGTATATAGATGCGAAGCTTTGTTTGACTGTTTTTCAGGGTCATGGCGCAAGTGCTCGGCCATTGACATGCCTATAGCAAGGGGGGCCGATCATAGAACTTAGGCTATATGTTATGGAACTTGTTCTCTACTAGCATGTGAATTATTCCAGCGTCTTACATTAGTTCGCCAGATAAGTAGCTCACCGGGGGTTTCTTCTTCGGTGTGTCTTGGTCGGTCCCCACATTGCGCAGTTCCGCAGCCAGTGGATTCAAACGCTAGGCTTTGTGCGTTCGCACCCAGCGGCTGTTCACTACGGGAGTGAAACTCCTACAATACCGTCGCACGCGGTACCACGTGACTGCACAGGGTCAAAGTTTAGAAGGGCCCAATCTCACACCTCGAAAGGTTTTCACCAGCGTGGCCGGGAAGGCATTTATTAGAGTTGGGCATCATATCACCAACAGCATGCTGACACAAGAGACATACCCTAAGCAAATAAGAGAAAAAATACATGTTGCCCCGATTCCAAGAAAGCCAGAGCTACGTACACTTCTGCTGAATTAAAGCATACTGCAACTATAAGAACACGCGTGTGACACCGCGTGCTATATCCGGACGGACGGCGGTTCGCTATCGTCGTGATTAATACAAACGCGACAACGCACGCAGCTAGTGTCGAGACCCCCCCGACACCCGGACATTGCTGAAGGAATGGCCATTGCTCGACCCATAACTGACCCCGAAACTCAAAATGTGCTCAGTGACTCGCGCTCAGCAGTACGGAATTTTGCTAAGGGTAGGATTTCGACTGAGCCCTTCGTGCACTAGCTGGCGCATGCCGGCCAGATTTTCCAGGCTGCCTTGATCTGGATCCCCACCCATATGGTTGAAATCTAACCGCTCTTCCCCAACCTTAACCAGGTATAACGCACTCTGCCACACGTGACACAACACCCCGTGCAGAAGGCGATGTCCTTGTTGGAGTATGCGGACCGGTATCGACGATAATGAACTGACCGAGTCGTTCTACTTGCGCGGCGATGCTATCCTCCGCCTAGTGGCAATTTATACAGAGCCCAAGCAGTTACTTGGCGACAGATGCGAACGAGTACTTATCCTGATCCCACTGCTAGACCACCGAATATACCCTAGCTAAGATGTAAGGTCTGCCAGACAGACGGAGCGACGCTAACACACATGTTGTGGAAATGCGAGGCTAAAGGGGAACGTAGTCACGATGTTCTTTCGGTGAGGTGGGTATGTTAATGGCAGAAACCTACGATGACGGGTGCTAAAAGACGCACAGGGCAAGCGCACAAGCTCATGCATGGATACTGGGGCTCAGCGCGGGCATCCACCCACTTGTGTGTCCCTAATACTTGTCACCGACTTTGTAAGTTTCAGCGCTAGAGAATTTTTCACCAGGTAACAATAATCCTCGCAAGTTTCGCAAGTAGACTCTATAGCTAGCTGCCCACTCGATCTGCATCCTGTGCGTGCGCACACTTGCCTGTGTACACAGCCGACAAAACCATGAGTCTTACGCGTCGGGCTTTCAACAATTAATGTAGGTAAAGTTGTACGGCACCTTTGATTTCGGGGAATACGCATCATTACAACCTGGTAGCTATAATCGCCAACACTCTTCGTTTATTATTCTTTAGAGAGGAGTATAAATTGCAGGTGTACCTGCGGGGTGTTAAACCCCATCAAATACATTTTGTATGCGTATTTATAGTGTTTCAAGAAATGAGTTCGAAAATAATTAAGGGAAATAGAATACTTCCTGGCTACCCTTATGATTTCAGTCTTCTGTAGCGGCAGAAATCTTAAAATGACTGTAGTCAGCAATACAGAAACATCCGTCATGACAGTAATTATAGTAATTAATTCAATCAACATTTAGTTAGTGGGAAAAGGCGGTCAGGTCAGATGCGATAATTGCAAACCTTCCTGTGAAGAGTCCGCTGCCAGTCTGAGATTGCGAAAGAGCCGCTTCTGGAAATTGTTACGGTGTACTGATAAATCTGACCAAGTTTGCCGGCAAAACCGAAACTATATATAGAACGCTGGTAAGTGCAACTATAGCAGACAACCAGGATTACGCACTGAAAGCGCAGTCCACACATCCACGAAGTGAAGTCGGTCTATGGATGATGTAATTAAGTGCGAAGTATTGCTTTGCTTACTTCAAGCACTTTTGGCGTCTATCTGCGTATCTATGCATCTAGTCGCTTACGTCGGCAGGTGGGTCATGCAGTGACCACCCCCTTAACTGGGCGTGAACCAAAATAGACGGTTTGACGAATATGACGCGCTGGTCAAGACATAAATCACAATCCCGTCGCGCACGTCGTTAAACACCTCCCGCCAGACAGTGGCACATGCCCGCGGACGGGAGAACGCACAAGGGCGATTTTAACGCGTGCGTTTTAAGGAAAACCTGACAATCGGCAGCGTTGACCCGACGAATGAATCGAACCCAAGCATCCTGCATGGCACTAATGCATTCTACCACAGAGCCACGCCAGGTCGTGGAGCTCACTTTGCAAATCTACCCTGATGTTCGTGAAACTTCAATTGCAGTTAAGTGATATGCACTGAAGTTGAGCACCAGCGCTTCATATTTATCGCTTCTGGTGTTGCTAATACTCGTGTTCCTGTTGGCATCATTGCAAAGAATTGGTACAACTCTGTCTGAGCGTGCAACATTTATATACATATTTAGCGGATTTCATAACGTGTCGCTCAATAAAAAAATTACAACACGGTCACCTTCCCTCCACATGCTTCACATAACGTCGATTCCCAATGTACGTGCCGGTCTGAGAACTGGCTAACCTCCCTGTCCTTCCTCATTTATTCCTCCTTTCTCCTCCTCCCAATGTACGTGGGAACTATCGAATTTTTCAGACATCTTTGGAGAAAACCCCTGCCGCCCTTCCGATTCGGTTTTTTCGGCACAGCTGGTCAGACGTACTTCACTCCGCTAAACTTACAAGTGGCTGCTTTTTCGAAATTTCAAAGCTGCTTCCCCCATTTCACCCAGCCGCCTGCCTACGTTAACCTAGTGGCGGATCCAGAAGGGGTTGGGGGTGGTATAGGGGTGATCACCCTCCACCCTCACTTCAGTGCTCGTAGTCCATTTCCCATCGCCAATTAAGACAAATGAGTGAAACCACTGTGGGCATGTGCACCTTAACAGTATTCATGATATGAAGGGGTTTTTCTGCTAGTAAAAACAAAAAGTGTTGACCACGCCCCCTCATGAAGTGTTATCTATAGCGTGACCCCTTCCCCCCTAAAGTGAGTGGCTGGATCCGCTCCTGTGCTAACCACAAAATTTATTATATTAATTTCTTTAATTACTGTGGTAATTGGTGTCTCTCATCATCGTAAATTATGAACACAGCGAGCACGTATCATATTTACGCCTTACTTTTTAGGTTTTTTCAGGCATATTTTTTTTTAAACACCCCACGCGCGTACAAGGCCACACACGACTAGCGACCCTCCTCCAGGCTCCACCCCACCCTTCCCCCAAAATAAAAGAGAGGTACGCACCTGTGCGAATACACGCGCTTATACAAACATGTGAAGGAACTGTCGGACTCCGTCCCACATGAAAAAAGAAAAAGACCAATATCCATATATATTCTGGAGAAATACGTGGCCATTATATAGCACATGACGTTCAAGCCCTATCGTTCAGTCACGTATTTCCTAGTTCCTGCCGCCAAGCCGTATCGTTCAGCAACGTCCTTTATCAGCTGCACGCACGCACGTAACGATTGTGTACCGTTCTTACCTAGTTCCTGCCGCGTGCTCTAAATGCAGCGCGGGTGGCAATCCAAATATGCCGCATTGATTGCTGTGCCGTCAGCACGGGCACGCCGACCCACACAAAACCTAGAATTGTGACAGTCATAACAAAGAAATAAGGCGTTATCGTCAATATGAACGACGTTCGTATGAGGCTCGAATGTTTGAACGACGCCATTTTAATTACTACGCAGCTTCAATGGCGAAGTGAAGCAGCAGTGAGGCAAGGCCTTGACGTCCCGGCATGGGAGACCTGAGCCCGGCCCACTAATTTGCCGGTCAATAAATAAAGTTTTTTCACCCCCAATGGCTGAACATACCTACGTTTAAATGAACCGCCACATGGCGACGCGGGTGTGGTTCAATGACGTAAGTTGTACGTCGTTCCGGTAATCCCAAAAGGACAGCTCTTACATGCCAGTTCCGGTCGGCGTTTGTACAGCTAGGTTCCTCTTTTTAATGCGAGTTAAAATACCTCGGTACGCGAGTGCACCCGCTCAACGTAGAGCACGTGTAGCGGATGCTGGCTATCCACGAGTGTGAGGGGACCTTTGCCGTTGCCCGGCTGAGTGCTCCGGAGGGCTGTTGCTGTTTTCGCGACCTTGCTCACCTGTATCCGATGTGAGTAGTGCCTCTAGTCGCCTTTACCTGTGTTTGTTGAGGGGTCGTCGTGCCGTGCGCTAATCTGCAAGATAAAAGTGTCGGAAGCAGTGATTTATGAAGCCGCCGGTGTGCCCCGGGCCTGTGTGCTTCACCTTTGGATGCTCCCGAGGTATTCTGTGCATCAGCAGTTGTACGGTGATGTGAAAGATAAAATTGGGTTTAGTATGACCAAAAGGTTTTCTGCCGTTGTGAAATATCATTTCCTCGTGAGTGCTTAGCATACCTTCGGTGAGATTTCGGGCTTTTTTTATTCATTTTTAATTTGTGCTCGCGTTTGAAGCAACTGAATTTGTCTACGAGTCTCGGATACTTGCGCATGTCAGTGAAGGAGCGTACGTGCATTCTGTAAGCGGCATAACATGAGCCATAATAGACAGGAAAAAAAGAATCATATCGCAGGCGCCATGCTTCCATGAGGCGTTCATGTTGCGCGCACATGCAGGGTATGTAATGTGCTCTCGAGTGAAAAGAAACCTGTACTCTGACCTCGTGATAATGCACCCCTAGACTAGGCTAAACTCAAAAGATTTAGTACTAATGCTAGTGCAAGTACCGGCATGTTTATCGCCCTGTACCTATTATTTTCTTGAAAATATATGCAAAGAATTGTCATAAGTGTGGCAAACGTTAGGACTATATGCAGTGTTCTAAAATGGATAGATGTAGATACGCACCTGCCCTAAGGATTTGTGTGTATTAACATATTGGCAGAAGAGCCAGATTGTGTGTCCATAGTTCATTCAAGTGGCCCATCCCTCAGCTTCATTTCTTTCTCGTACATGGGTGCTCCCTCGGATTACTACATAACGGGAAGTATTTAGGTTACGTATTGAATCGTACAGTGCAGAAAGAGAGGTGACACTGCTCATCGGTTATTTCAGGCTTCAAAAGTGAACGGGCCTGAATGAAATTTTGGCATGAAATTAAAATTATTGCCGACACCAGACCCCGCTGAGAGTGAGGAAAATACCGAACCGGCACCTGACGCATTCAGCCACTGGGACGATGAACCACAGTACGAGGTAAGGAGTGGAGCTGTATTTCACGCGGCTTGTGTACTCATCTTCCTTTAAGAGTCACAAATTACAGCAGCCTAATGTCTTTTCCCATCTAAGCATCCTACAAGGAGAAAGCTCCGTTGGTCTCAATGGTAGCAGAAGTTGCTGCGAAACAGCCATGACCTGAGATTTCGCTCGTGGCAGCGAAGTCGGTTGTATCCTATTGTAAGCATTGCCGCTAGACTGGGTGGCTGTGTTGACTTGGTTGATATGATGCCAATTTTTCTAGGTTGCTACAGCCATGTGCCCTTCTGTCTGCAGCACACAAGAATACATTAGGAATAGTGATACAGACACCTCTATGCTCAAAGCATTCGACTGAATACTGTGATTGTATGAGCATCCTTACTGTTACCACAGGTCATGGACAGTACACAAACATGTACTTCAGTGCATCATAATGTATTCATTGAAAGTTCTAGACAGATGTGTTGCAGCTGCACATGTTGCACAAATGAAATAAAGCAACACACTGTGGCATGGATGCACGCAGTGCTGTTGGTGGTGGTAGTTAACTCGTACAGTAAACCTCTTTATTGATCTGCTGCGTAATTTCACATTCAGAGTAATGCAAATTTGATCCTTGCTCTTTGAAGCAGAAATAATTCATTCTGCTTGGTTGCTGTCGTAAAAAGACAGTGGTTAAGGGTAGTACATATTTACTGATGTACAAGTATACTGCTGAAATATTGTCATACTATACTAACGTTACGCTGAACAAACTTTACCGGCATGCTGAAGGAGACAAAAGGAACACTTGTGACAACGTTGATGAAGTTATTGGCCTGGAATCTTATTCACTCGTTTTGTGTTTCTCTTATTCTACTGGCTAGGTTTGGAGACAACACTTGCCTAGGCTGATCTTTTGGTTCAATGGCTGAGGGAGAAGTTGCGGTAAAGGCAGATAATTTTGCCACCACTGCTTGCCGTCTCCTCCTTCTGGACACATCTCTTACCTCTCACTACCTCTTTCCACTGGCTTTACAAGCACACTGTGCTGAATGTGACTAGAATGCTCACAAAGATTCAGTGAAGGTGACCTTTTAGATGCGTACAGCATACTAATCATTACTCATGAAAAATAAATAGTCTATGTATTTATTACCAATTCAGATAACTAATCTTATCATTGTTTTTGTCACAAAAGAAAATGAAACAGAAGTTTTCATTGTAGACTGACCTCATCCCAACTGTTTTACCCCTCATAGTCTATTAGCATTGTGCATGGGGAAACCAACACCTCCACTCAACTGCTCAACTGAAATTCCACCATTATACGTGTCTGGTCTGTGTGAATTGTCCTCCGAAGTTTGACTCATTCATGTGTAGTGCTTGCTGATTGTCAAGCTTTTGAAGGTTTTGCAGTATGACTTTCAGTGTTCTTTGTTGAATGTTGGAAAAAGCTTTCCACCCTTTTTATCTTTTTTTGTTCCAGTTCTTTGACTACTGTTTGGCATGTATGTTGTGTCACTGCCCTTTTTTCTGAATGTTGCGAAATGCTTACGATCCTATTTTTTATCCTTCTTGCTTGCAGATAACGAATCGAGATAAGGTTATCACATCATTCATTGCAGGGGCACTAGCCGGCTCCCTTGCAAAGACGACTATAGCTCCTCTTGATCGTACAAAGATTAACTTCCAAAGTAAGGCGCACACTTTTTATGGCAACCTACTATACTACTACTGCTATTGCTGTTGTTAAACGGATACACCTGGCTGTGAAAGAGACTCGTTAAATCATTTGTCTCCATTTTTTTGTTGGTGCATGTGCTAAGGTATGGAGCCCTGTGGAATTCTAAGTCAGATGTTACTTGATCTGAAACATTTTTACTTTGGCACATTAAATTGCATAGCCTGACAAAAGATCATATCTAGTGGAGAGGTGATTTACTTTTTCTAACCTTTCTGTGTCTTATATATTTTAGGTAGCTTGGATATTTTGATTTCAATATTTTCTTATTTTTTTACTATTTTTATTTATTGTGAAGCTCATTTTTGCCATTGCAGTTGTCTTTGAATGCACGTGCATTGACAAATGACTACATTTTTGTGTGCTTCTCACTGTGTATCTTCGCTGCATATCCTGCATGTCGTAGTGTGGACAAAGGATTTTGAAGACTAACTGCTGTGTGCCCCCATGCAAAGCTGCTTTACCCCTTTTCATGCATTTTTGCAAGGAGAAAAAGGGCTTTTGTTATATGCACTTTGATTACTACCTTTTCTTACAGTTTATGTGTTTCCTTATGGGCTTTCTTTTTTGCGATGCCTTGTGGCACTTTCTGAGGCTGACGTTGGTTGTCCTATTCATTCACTGTGGCAATGTGTCTTTGCTCATGATAGGTATTACTCATTGTGTGGTGAGGCAACCTAAACATTCTTTCCACATTTTGTACATGGTATTGCACATAGTCTTGGAAATCTGTGTGTGCACTTAGCACCTATAGTATTTAACCCTGTCTGCACCAGAGAAAAAATCATTGCATTAATTGGAAGTGATAATGAGTTGCATATGCTGCATGATAGTTGGCACACCTTCCTGTCATTTCTTATAGAACAATATTTCACAGAAAGTGCCCTTCATTAGCGCAAAAATTTTTCGCTTATTCAGGTGCCGCGTGTTCACTGGTGGCAGTAAATTGTAAATGTTTGTACACATCACCATATCAAATGCAGAAAATAGGAGGAGCGAGGGAAAAGAAAAAGTTAATAAGTCATAGGCACAGGATGAGTATATTATTAAGGCGGCGCCGTAGTCCGCCCCCTCCCCCCTCTCTCTCCCATTCCTATTCGGCACTCTTGATCCCCTTTTGCCAGATTAAGCATAGCAAATCGGATGCTACAATTCTAGTTGTACCTCCCCTGCCTTCCTCTTCAATTTGTTCTCTCCTCTCTTTTTCTAAATTAAAAGCAACAAGCTACACTCACAATGAACTGTATAATTTATTTCCAGTGGGAAGTAGATTTCAGTTTCCGATACTCTATTCTGTAGTTGTACACCAGTACATGAAAACTGTCAGCCAAGTACAGTAAAACCTCATTAATTCGAATGTCACTGGGGCCGTGAGAAGTCTTTGAATTAAGTGGGTTTTCGAATGAACAAAACATTCAAAAAGTGGAAGGCAAGGAGCTTAGAACTGTTCAAAGTAATCAGTGCTCGTCGTTTGCTGTGCCGGCTAGCTCGCGGCTCCAAGGGTTACGTTTTTTAGCAATACCTAGTCTTAATTTTTGCACAAACACGGGGGAGTGGTGGGCTTTGCTGCTGCCACTGAAAAAAAAAAAAAAAACACTGTCGTGATAAATTGAAATGTGCACCTGCGGAAAACGAGACATCTTCACAGCAACACAGTAGCAGTAGCGACACGCGGGCAGCATGTCGCCTGCACTTTGCTGCGTCAGCACCTCATGATGCGACCATTCGCACATTCTTTCTGGTATACTTAGGAACTTAATATTGGTTAGTATGAAAAATAATCTTTGAAACTTTTGAACTTATTTCTTGAAGTAGGTGTTGCTGGCATGAACTCTGCCAGCAGTGCAAAAACGTGAATAGCTGGAGCAACTAGCAATCTGAGGTTTACATACATTACGAATTCTGCCAAGCTGTGCTCAGATTTGGGTGCACGTTAAAGAACCCCTGGTGGTCGAAATTTCCGGAGCCCTCCACTACGGCGTCTCTCATAATCATATGGTGGTTTTGGGACGTTAAACCCCACAAATCAATCAATCAATTCTGCCAAGCTGTCCTTTATTAATTTCTTCACGACCCCAGAAAAAATGAGTGAACCATGACCCACTGACGTTGCTAAAAACATGCAATATGCTGCCCGCGCATCACCGCTGTATTGCAGTGAAGCACGTCCAGTTTTCCGCAGACATGTTTTGGTTGACCACAAGACCGGTTTCTTTTTCTTTTTTTTTTTTTGCGCTGGAAGTTGCGAGGCTGGGGTGCTTCAGAGCTGACTCATTAGTATCGCTACGTTGCATTGCCTTGTGGCTTTAAAGGAGCAGAGTGACTTGTTGGGCGAGTTGGTTCATTCTTAACCAGCTTATGGTACACACACACAAAAAAAAAAAACACGAGAGAAGGACAAGCGCTTGTCCTTCTTTCGTGTTTTTTTCGCACCATAAGCTCATTAAGGCTATTAGGGCCATCGTTTCGGCGGATTAGCAGTGCAATCGGGATCTGAAACTGGCACATTGCACCCAAAGTTTTCGAATGAACTGGACTGGGGCTGGCCGCCGCTTCAAATTGTCCACTCAAACTTACAATGCAAAATACAGGACCGCGGAAATCCTTTGAATTAAGTGGGATTTCAAATAACCGAGCTCTAATTAATGAAGTTTTGCTGTACTGTAAGCCGGTACCCAATAGCGTTGTACACACAGTCAACATTTTCAGTGTGTTTCGTCATCATAGCTGCTTCCATACACTGATTGCAGATTAATAAAAGCTACGGCACTGAATTCAACCTTTCCCCTGGTGCACATGCATGCCTGTGACCTTAAGTACAAAAAAGTTTGTATGTTCTTAAATTTGCGAGGGCTGTGTGTGAGCTAATATCTTCACGTTATGCTTCTTTCTCTCCTCCTCCAAACATGGCACCCAATCGCAGTACACAATGAGCAGTTCTCATTCACCAAGGCAATTCAGTTCCTGGTCAAATCGTACAAGGAGCATGGCCTGCTCAGTTGGTGGCGAGGCAACACGGCCACCATGGCGAGAGTTGTACCCTTTGCCGCCTGCCAGTACGCTGCTCACGAGCACTGGAAGATCATCCTCAAGGTTGACACAAATGAAAGGAGGTGAGCGGTCAAAAGCTTTGCTACGGACGATTTCACTACTGGAGTTTGTGGTTCTATACCATTGGTGCTCTGCTATATTCGTAGCAGGTGTCTGAAGATGATTACAACCTAAGAATAAATACCAGCTCCACCCGCAGAACTGCAGTGCACCTGTAATTATCTGTGTGAGGGAGTCGTGCTTAATTGTTTCCTTTCTAACCACAAGTAACCTTGCGACTAATGCAAATAATATGCATATTATCAATTAAGAGTTTGCCGTCCTTAGTTGAAATGTTACGTTTGACTGAGCAGTGAAGTCTTGCCTTTTGCCATAGTTTGCCATAAACTTCGAGTTCTGAACCAAAATCTAGCAACAGAAACATGCTTGTATGAGAAAGTCGCCTACTTAAAATGTGCAACACGTGCTTGACATCATAAGCAGTGGCTATTGCATGATAGAATTATTTGCAAATTCTCTTTAGCTGGAGCTGATTTTTATTGTTAGATTATAACAGATCATGGAAATGCATTACTGGGATGCAAATTCAGTGTACTGCAATTCATTATGCATGTTTTCTATAAACATTTTTATATCGCTGTATACTACTTTGTAATTGCATTTGTTTGTTTTTACTATTGCTGTCAGCATAAGTTTCTGTTTATGGTGTACTGGAGATCCCATCTTAGTATTCGAACATGGCACCTTCTTTTGTATCTATCCTTACCTCTAAAATATTTGCGCAATATGGTTGACTGATTGAACAACGAGGCAGCATCACACAAACTGTTGTCTTCTGTGCAGGAATGCATTCAAGAAAATGGTACAAGTCCATTTAAAAATCATGCAGGCTGGCTATGGCAAATTTTCTCAGTTTTTAAAATATTATTTTCAGGTCACTTTTATTGTTTTTCATAACCAGCCATATGTACAGCGTGACGGTATTGGCAAAGGGTCTTGTGTTGCTCTAGTGTTTGTCGGTATTTTTTTTGCTTTTGTTGACAGGTCTTCAAGAGCTTTTAAAAGCTTTTTCAGAATTTTTAGATGCATTGAAGATTTTATTGTGTTTTTAACTGTTGCCTCTGTCTACACGGATAAGCAGAATAGCATTTTAAATGATTTTAAGCAACATGTACTCCAGCTTGTTTTCACCCATGAGCTGCTCCCTAAAGTAATGTTTTGCGAATCCTGAACCTTAGGCTGTCATGCGTGTTAGGCATAGAGTCCCCGCCCACAAAAAGTGCTTGTGCTATTTCAGTCAGCCCATTCAAAAGTTGTCAAAAGAGGAATGGTGTCTTCATGTATGGAATCAGCTCTCATAAGGACATGTGAGCGTAAAATTGAGGGTAACGTTCACAATCGGGTATGTCCCCTTTTAGCTGCAAGTTACCCTATATGGCTGCTCAAAGCTGTTGCCAAAGCCCTGATTAAAAAGAAAAAGAAAATGTCCCTTTGGTATTTTCTGTGCCCAACGAGCTTGCTAAGCTGTGCTTCTACGTATGCGTTGTTAGCAGTCATAGCTGCCTAATCAAGCACAGTGTCTGCTATATCCTTACAGCACCTTTGTGGTATGTGCCATGCCTCTTTTTTGTGACAGGGCCTATATCGGAACAAACTAAATGAGCGACTCAGGGGAATATGTGCAAAAAAAATAAAACAATGTCACACAATGTCACATTCTCAAAGAAGCACATCTTGTTGCTCATCTTAACTCCTGCTGCAGCTGCACTCTGCGATGTCTTTAGACGTTGATCGTGGGCAGAAGTGACTACGAACATGTGCAGCTTGCCTCTCACATCAAGAAAAATGGAGCTTATTGTATCAGTGACATGTCTATATCATTGTACCCCTCAGAATATGAATTCAGGTGTGCACATCTTTGTTAGAAATACAGAAACTCCCATTAAGACGAACTCTGTTAAAGGAGCAGTGACATCAACTTGACGCAACTCTTGTTTTTTGCGTCAATGCTGTAGTTTTATATGCCCTAGTGATGATTCGGTACTAACAATGCAACAGAGGGTCGAATTGATATTTGTAATATCGATTAGTATGACCAGTATCGAACAGAGATCAAAACGGGTGCAAAGTGCGCCAACTTTTCAGCGCTGCCGAGCGGTCACCACCCGCGGTCCTGCCCCATCTGATCTCGGGCCACACGAAATGGTGACACGAGTTTCTGTTGACATTTCATCTGCTCGGCACGCACATGCATACGCATGTCTTTGCGAACCCCATTGCCGTCGCCGCTATCATAAGCGTCCACAAGCAAGAACGAAAGCACTGAGGAATATGAAATCGAGGCGATTCGCGGCTTGGCAAACCATTTTTGGTTCGATCCTCTTCCAAGCAGTGATTCTGAAATAGACGCTGGACCGAGCAGTTACGAGGCTGCTGGAGACGCATGCTTGGGCCACGATGGCTGGTAAGACATATGAACGCTGCGTGCAGTGTTCTTGTTTTGCGATGACAGTAACTTCAAATAATCAAAGTCGCGCTCACGACTCCGCGACATATCACCCGAAGCGATACAACGGAAAAGCAGGGATCCACATGAACACGCTGCACGAACCAAGGAAAACAAAGCAAGTGAAGTCGTTGCTTGGCCGCCAGTCGTCGCCGCCAGACGGTGCCACATGCAGACACCGCAATGACAACACTAAAATTGTCGTCGTCATTGCTGCTCGCTTATCTTAACTCGTTTCCTGAGGCGTTGCTTACGAGCGTGCTGAACACGTCAAAATACTGTCTGTCTCATGGCTGGGAATGCACCGATGAGCCTTGGACGCTCTTTGTGCTCGAAATAGAATAATTTCTACGTGACGGACGCGATTCATACTTTGCTGAAACAATTCATGTATACCAAGGAATTGAATGAAGGCCCCTTCTCAAGTTTGAAATTTGGTGTCACTGCTCTTTTAAAACGAATTCTTGCTTAAGACGAACAGGATAGAAATGTTTGATTTTTAATAGACTCAGTGCAAAAAAAAAAATCTGCTTAAGCGAATCGCGTAACAGGCGTCTTCTATTAAAACGAAATCTTGCAGTGACCAGCAACGACGGGGATTCTGCGCTATGACCCGCAGGTCGCGGGATCGAATCCCGGCTGTAGCAGCTACATTTTCAGTGGAGGGGGAAATGCTGTAGGCCCGTGTGCTCAGATTTGGGTGCACGTTAAAGAACCCCAGGTGGTCGAAATCTCCGGAGCCCTCCACCATGGCGTCTCTCATAATTATATCGTGGTTTTGGGACGTTAAACCACACATATCAATCAATCGATGATTCTGCGCTGCGAAGTCTTGGGGGTAAGGGTGGGGGCATTCAAGCAAACAAGGGAAAACAAAATAAAAAAAAAGAAACATCACACACACACACCATCCTGGTGCAAAAAATCAAACAAATCGAAATAAAATTGTGATGTGGAGGGAGGAAGCGAGATAAGTGGAAAAGAAACGTCAGCACATAAAGCAAGTACCTCCCTCACTCCTAGCCTGTAGGTGGAGAAAGGGCCAACTTTATCAGCTTAGAAAGCAACAAAAAGTGTTCATCCTTTCGCATTCTTTTAGTGTTCTTCAGTTCCCCAACAGGAGCACAATGGAGAACAGAACAGTGAAGTTTTTCATATAAACGTACTTATGTCTCTGTATTTCGCCTTCATTCATTCCCATATCATGTATGGTATCGCTGCTTGGGGAAACACGTATGACTGTCATCTATCACCCATTCAGAACATACAAAATCAGGCGATCCGCATTATCACTAATAGCTCACGATACTCCAGTGCAGGCCATCTGCTCCAAGACAACAAAATCCTACCTGATCGTAAGTTATTTTTTTATAGCATAGCCGTTCTTCTGTTTCAATTGCGCAATGCACTGCTACCGTTAGAGTTCATTGATTCAGTTTTCTTACAAAACAACAATGTAACCAGATTTGCAATGAACCTTAACTTTTTGCTACCCGCATCGCGCACAGATTATTGAAAAATGACCTCTGCCTTTGCGGCCATTACTTTTTGGAATAACATGCCTCTTTCTGTTAAAACGATGCCCACATTGTCATCATTCAAAAAGTCGCTTAAAAGTTTTCTGTTAAATTATTAGCTGCCTGTATATGGGCTTTTTGGGGGCTTTGCGTTTTTGGTTATGCCATTTAGATCATTGCATTTCGATTGACAATGTCCGCCACTGAACGAGATGTTTTTTTTTTGTTTTTTTTTTCGTTCTTTCTTTTTTCTTTCCTTATTTGCCTTGCTTTTTGTTGCCTGATGTGTCACTTAGCCTATAATAATTACTCATCACTCTATATTGTATAATTGATTCCCATTCACTCGTTGCTTGTTAACTTGATCTGATTTATTGATTGTTATAATGCATCGAGAGTCCCGTTACAGTTTTTAACTTTGGGACCCTCGTCTGTATATTAATATTACTGTACTACTTTTTTGAAATGAAAAATAAACTGAAACTGAAACACAAGAGCTTGGATAGTGGGGAAAATGCAAGGGAAGGGGGGTGAAAAAAAAAAAAGCCAAATGAAAGCGAAAACAGGAACAAAGATTGTCCGTGCATTATAATCGCATCAAAACCGAAACCACATATACAGTGCTAGCACTCCCATTAGAGGAGCCATAAGCATTGTCATCGCTGTCACACCATGGTGCCTGAGCACATGTTGTGGTCAGTTTGCATTGTTTTGCATACGGGGAGTGTGCACCGTACCTGTTTCCAGTGAAATGCAGCAAATTGGGATGTGCTATTTTCATTATGAAAGTGCATGACAAAGGAAAGTCATCTAGCTCAATAAATATAGCTGCATCGTCTCTCTTCTTTGTGCCTGAAGCTTGTTATTGTGAGTAGCATAAACGGAGATCTTCAGCTGCATGTAGTTCAGGAAAAGCTACTGTGGGCTGAAAATTAGAAAATATCCAGACCTCTAAGAAAAGCTTGCGAAATTTCATAAGCATCTTGGCGTACATAAGCTTTGTCAAGGGAATGGTATGCAATGGAGGCGTATCCAAACG